GAAAAAGTACCGAGACGGCAAATTAATGTTTGGCAGAGCTTAATTGTTCAATCGAATCATTTGAATCCATAAAGACACACAATTATGTTTATGCATGCCATAAATCTGATTAGCGCAGAGTGGCACTCTGCGAATGCAGCTCAGCCTGTATGGGGGGTTAATGCCCACCCACACAGCTCACGTCTGATTAGCTGCGAAGCACAATCACTTATCTCTCTTTCAATTACAGCCTATGAAGTGAAGTACGGTGATGTATCCCTCAAATTACCTGCACAGTCTTTTCCTACTTTAAGCGACAGAAGCACTAAAATGACACCCGAGACCTTCAGTCTGTCACTGGACCAGTTGGTTTGGTTCACGCTTATTCATGATGAAGAAGATATAATTTTTAATCTGAACTGTATTGGAGTAGAAATATAAAACAGCATGCGATTGAACTATTTATGCAGAATTTAATTAATTCCAATGCATACTTAAGTTCTGCATTTATGGACATTATGTTCCAAAACTGGTGACATTTAACATAAATATATTTTATTGATTCATTCATTCAACCTTTATTCATACTTGACAGGACAGTGAACCTCTTTTTATGAGTCAATTATCAAAGCAAAGAGAAAAGAGAAAAATACCCACCAGAGAAGTGGCGCTATGACAGTTTGTTACATAAAAACATGAAACTTCCTTTTTACGGATGATTTGTTTGATAAAATAATTAGGGTCAAATAAAAGGCAGTAATGTGCAAAACCCTAAAACCTGCAGGATGACATAAATGTTCAATAGATAAATAAAAACAATGACAGGTGAAGCTTTAGAGGAATGAAATCAAACATGTGGATGAGATGAATGTGCAGTAATTCTGGGGAGGAGCTACAGTTTGTTCAACAAGTTCAGATCTAACTTATAGAACATAATGTGAGAGTCAGTGAGCAGAACATCTGAGGAAGTCCGCTTATCTTCCTGGAAAGGCTTTATAGAAAAAAAGACAGCCAAACACATCATAACAATACAGTAACAATCCCCACCGACAGACCTCACGATAGAACAACAGACCACATGCAGAAGTCTCAGAGCATGAACGTTCGGATTGTTCAGACGTGACTGTTCATCTTCAGCATGTATGAGCTTTTGGAGGCGTGTACTCAGCTATGTGTCAGTACACCGTACACTGTTTCCAGCAAAAGCCTTTTTCACCCAATCATTACAAATGTGTTTCTGCTCCCAGGAGGTCCTGCCTCCTTTAGAAGTGACGCTCTGACCGACCCTCCCTGCATTTCCCACAGGGCCACAGTCTGACGCTGACCTCTGCCCCAGCCAGACGGGTCGGCTGCTCGGGTCAGCTGGTTCCTCACGTCCACGCTGACTGTCTGCGTGTTCTCATCAGTGCTGCAAACATCCAGCGTGGAAGCAGCAGGTCTCGTCTGGATCTCCACCACTTACTGACTCATGCTCTTGCTTGTTCTGCTGATGCGCTGCAGGTTCACCAGGTTCAGGATTCGGTGCTGAGGGGTTTGATATAGCTTTTGCAGTTCAGGCGATGAGTTCTTGTGGACTGTGTTTAAATGATAGTGGGTGCAGATCTTAGTTTTTGCTTCACTTAAACTGGTAAACAGTGCAAACTGAACGTGCGAGAACGCATCATTACCTGTGAACTAGCATGCCTTCGCCTGATGTGGTGATGCAGAGGACAGCTAGCAGGGAGCCCAGCCTCCTCCACTGGAAGGAAAGGAGTCCCACTTTAACGTCTGCACAACTCATGTTGGTGGATTTTGCCTTCAGTCGCAGCTAAACTGCTCATTGTGTTGTTATTCTGAGAAACACAACAAGCAGAATTTACAAACTAAAACTAAAAACTGTGCTTGAGCAAGGTTCTCCTCCCCGTTTGAGCTTCATGGTTATGTCTGAAAATCTGGTACTTTATGGATTCATTGGGGAAAATTCTGCGGAAAGAGTAAAGTGACCACCACAATAGAAAACTATAAAATATCATAGAAATATAATATGAAAATATTCTAAGATACAAAAATGCTAAATAAAGTGTAAAATATATTATGAATAAATTTAAAAATGCACCGTAAAATGCAACATGCTAACAGTGCAAATGTACAGTGAATGAATGTCCTGTAATGTAAACCGGTGTAGGATGAGAGCTGGTCTCAACATGCTGATGTTTAGTAATGTCATCACGATCATCGTCAGAGTTCAGCACGTTCAGCCTCATGGGAAGGTCAGTAGCTTAGCATGTGATGGAGGTTCATCAGGTGAATGAGGGGAACATGAACGTGTGCACCACATCTCATAGATTTGAGACTCTGGATCAGAAACCTGCGTCCAGCGGTCGACTGAGCGAGCACGGCGAGATAATGCAGGAATCTTATCATTATAAACACAGTAAGTGTTCCGTCATCAGACCGAGCCGTCGCGACAGCCGCTGCAGGACGGCTCCCAACAATGAGGTCAGAAATACACTGAAAACACACAGTTTAAACAGGACCCGGGTGATGGATTATTATCTCCTGGCCTGACATGCAGAAGATTCATTACTGTGGAGTGTGATTAGTGTCTCCCCTCCCCTCCTCTCCACACACTCCGCCCTGCATTCCATCATCTTGAACACTGACTAATTGTGTTTTGCCAGTGTCCCTGTAATGCATATTTCTGCAGCTACCCAGATGTGGGTGCCACCACCATCTATACGCCGCGACACCACGTACAGATGGTTGTGTAATTGCGAGCACACGGTGGGGATCACCCCACTCTGTAATCGCACTCATAGTTAGCTCTTCGTCATTTGAAGTTTCCAGATTCCCTTTCAGATGCCACTCGTTTAGGGTGGACTACTGGTGGGCGTTTATGAAGCTGCAGATGTGGCTCCACAACTGGTGACAAATGGTCCTCCAGTCACATCTGTGTCTCCACAGTTCGATGGAGGAGGTAAGGTTTCCTCTGAGTCATGCACAGGGGGAGTTCCTCTGCCTAAAGTAGTCAAAATATTGACAAGTTTCACCATCAGTGTCTTGAAAACAGCTGAACTTGGCTGCAGAAGCACATCAGGTCTGAATTTGTTTGTGTCATTTTCCTCAAGGAGAATCTGGTAATAAAGCTCGTCCACAATCACAGACGCATCGCTTGTCTGTTTGGTGTGCAAATATGCTCGAATGTCTCCCAGATGCTTTTACTCTTCCTCCAATATTGATCTGTGCATTAGCACTGTATAACTAATTTATGAAGCCAAGAGGAGGTTTTGGTGTTTTTATGAGACTGAAAAAATGATCCATACAATGATTTAAGCATTTATTTTACTCATAAGTGACGACTACAAAACGGAAAGTTCCCAAAAAAAAAACAAGTAAACCTTAATAAAACAGTGTATTCTGATGTTAGCCAGTGATTTTGTACCTTTCATACAGCTTAGTGCAGCTCAAAGTGCAAAATATTCTTTAGATTCCTTGTGACTGGCAGGTTCTTATCGATCTAGTTATTAGATAATTAATGATGGTTTATGGTACCATTTGTATAAATTCTATGACATGAGATTTAACGACTTCTCTCTCATTTATTTTGTGTGATTCTGGATCATTTTATCCCCTCGAGTGTTTTGCATATATTTAACTGAAGGCAACTTTCTCTTTATTGATTAAACCACAAAAAAATATTTCTGTGTATTAAAGCTGCACATTTAGAAGAGTTTTTCCATGAAAATGTTGCCTTCCGACCTTAAAATTATTTAGCTGTAACTAGAAATGTACAGATCTATGTAATATCTGCCTCTCTCTCCATCTGTCCATCCCCACATGCTGCAGCTTGAGCACACCAGTTCACAGCGATGTTCAAACACTGTCAAACAACTGTACAAGCTGGAGTATTGGGATCATACAGAAAGTCTCACCATGCACGTGGGCAGAGTTGGTTCCTTAGGTTTGGTTTGTACGAAACCCCAAAAGTCAGAATCCGTGTTTCTGAGACGGCCGTCGTTATGCTGCAGTTTTCAGGTGGAAACGTTCAGTCATGGACATGTTAACCATGTAAAATAAAATATCTTCACTGTAGGGGCCTTTAAAGGTCAGAGACATGAGAACCATGAGCATGGCCCCAACAGCACTCAGAGGTCAGTAAATTTCACAAACACAACATCAGAATGAATCCTAAAACCAGTGATTATAGTTGGAGCTCAATGCAGAGAGAGCGGTGTGGACATCAGTGGAATGGCTTTACTGTATGATAGAGAACCAGTTTTATTGCCAAGTAGGTTTTCACACAGAAGGAACATGATGTGGGGCTGCAAGGTGGCGCAGTTGGTAGCACTGTTGCTTCGCAGCAAGAAGGTTGCCGGTTCGCGTCCCGGTGAGGACACCGGAATCTTTCTCCATGTTCTCCCCGTGCAGCGTGGGTTCTCTCCGGGTTCTCCGGCTTCCTCCCACACAGTCCAAAAACATGTTGATATTAATTGGTGATTCTAAATTGTCCGTAGTTGTGAGTGTGTTTGGTTGTCTGTCTCTAAGTGTAGCCCTGTGATAGACTGGTTACCTGTCCAGGTGTCCCCTGCCTTCGCCCTAAGTCAGCTGGGATAGACTCCAGCCCCCCCGCGACCCTAGTGAGGATTAAGCGGTGTATAGAAATGGATGGAACGTGATGTGGTGAAAACGCTAAAATGTAGAATTAAAGGAATCACATAAAATAAAGGAAGCGCTGCAGGTCATCAGGAGTCAGTGTGAGGAGACAAACAGGACAATGCACATTAACTGCAAGCGCAGGTCAGTCCGAGGAATGATGAAAGTAGCATCAGACTGACAGAAATGTTCACAGCGTGCAGGAATGTGCACATGACTCACCTGAGGACGGTCACGTGACATATGGCCTAAGGATGACTGATCACCATGTTCTGAGTGCAGTGAAGCCAGCCAGGCCTACATTTCCCAGCAGCCCCGCTACAGAAACATCTCCCTCTGTTGGTGTCGGAACACAGCGCAGGTTCGGCTCCGACCGGACCGCCGAGCTGCTGTGGCCGGGGAGGGTGAGGGCTGGTCACAGCTGGAGCACATCAGGAGGCCGAGGATGGAGGGGCTGCAGTTGTCATGGAGACGGCGGACGTGGGGGCGGGGCGTGCCGGAGCGGGCCCCGTTTGTTTTGTTATTGAAGGTCACATGGCCGCGCCGAGGCTCCGCCCTCCTCCCCCGTTAGCACCGATTCAACCGTCTGCTCTCCGGTCAGTTACTACAAAATGGCTGCAGAGGCTCCGCCGACGAGCACCGACTGAACGCTTCATGGTAGGATCCCGCTCCGCCCGCCGCGGCAGCTCGACGCGGTTTGCGCCCTTTTTCTTCTTGTTTGCTCTCCTCTTGCGGAAATATCGCGGAATTTGGCAGCTAAACATGGCAGCTGGACGCGGAGGACAGCTCGGCTCAGCCCCCTCTGACATCAGTGTTGTCTTCGGCGTCTCGCCGCGGTTCGGGCTCCGGGAGCTAACGGGCTAGCTAGCTTAGCTGGTCCTGTTTGTTCCGTCGAGTGTTCGCAGCAGCTTCGGCTCACATCGGAGGGACTCGGCCGACAGGGACGCTGCTGCCTGGTGCACCGGGCTGCTGCACCTGGCCGGCGGGTTACCTGCTGGTTCCTGCACACCGCTGCTGGGCTCCCGGTCGGAGGGCTGCTGATGTGCATCCTCGTTTGTTCTGCAGCTATTGGGGGACGTTTGCACAAATAATCGCTCTTTGCGTTGCTAAGACGTGATCTTTTAGTGGGGATTGGGCTTTTTTATGTTTAATTCTAACGGTATATGCAGAAAACCGGACTTCTCAGGTCTTAGACACATAAACAGATCCATCTGCTTGAGGACATTGAAGGTGTCCAGTAAGCCAGAATCAGGTAAAGTCACGTTGGAGAGCAGTTTAACTCCTGCTAAGAGTGATTGTTTGCATGTTGGTCCTGCCTGATGCACAGATAATCGCTCTTTGTGATGCTGAGACATCATCTTTTAGTGGTGATTGGCTTTTTTAATATTTACTTTCATGGTATCTGAACTTTTAGGTATTTTGTAGAGTCACAGTGTCCAGCATGCAGAACAATGTGTGAGACATAAGGAGTTGTTTTCCAGGATGCATCAGCTCTGCAGCCTGACGTCCTGCAGCGTGCAGCCAGGGAATGCCAGCACCCCGATGCATGCAGAGGGCAGCCTGACGTAAGCTTTGAGGCCCTGCTGGTCTTCCTAATGTGTCAGAGTCCCTCATTTGATCCTGAGCCTGGCAGAGGATGAAGAGGTGGTGGGTTTGGGGGGTCTGCTGGGAGGTTAGAGGCCCCTGAAAGAGGCAGTGTGTATTCACAGAGAGGCGCCAAAGGGGGTAGATAACAAAAACAGGCCACTAAATGCTGCGATTAGGTCATAGCCTGAGCTTCAGTTCAAACCTCCCGATGGCTTTCCTGCCTTAAAGCTTGGCTGGAGGGCTGAGGGGCACGTTGCCAGATTGTGTCATTCGGTTTGGTGTCAGAGATCAGCTGCTTAGCGGGAGTCTTAAGTGGAAATGATGAAGTGGCATTCTGGGAGAAGTTGAAGTTTGGTTTTGCTGGATGCTGTTGAAATGCTGCGCAGGTCGCTGCTGCACATCTGTCAGCCTGCACACATCAGCTCCAGGTCCTGACCCTCTGGACCTGGGTGTCAGAGTCCGAGCAGCATCCTTAAAGATAAATGCTGCTTTAAAGCATTTCCCTAATTGTCCTTTTCAGAAGCACAAATGAGTCCTACCGGAGCTGAGAGTTCTGTTCTTGCACACGGACCATTGCTGACACAGGAGCCGGCCCGTTCGGATTTATGAAGACAAATGTGGAAACAGTGAGAGAGCTACGTGATCGGGTTTTAATAAGACGTTTGTTGGGTTTGCTCTTTGATCTGCTGGACCAATAAATTGCCGGCCGCCCTTGTGAACGTGTCCCCCCCGTTACCTCAGCAGCACACAGCTGACACCGGGCCTGGAGGCGGGCCTTTGGACTGAGCCAGCCAGTTATTTTAGGGCCTGTTCACAGAGCCAGGAGTGCAGCACAAATTTCTCTTTCCTTGTCATTACTGTGGGTCAGAAAGCATTAACGCAGCCACACTGAGAATAGCTTCAAGTAGTTTACAGAGTGCAATCCTCTTTGCACAGCACGAGGACTTAGCGCGCTGCTTAGCCAGCACTTTTCAAACTACAGGTAGTGGTGACAGTCTGAGCCTTTCTCTGTGTGTTTTACTGTGAAACTCTGCTAAAGGCTGCTAGTTTACGGCGCTGGCAGCCGAGCAGAGGGCGCTCTGCGCTCTGCGTCCTGCGCTCTGCGTCCTGCGTCCTGCGTCCTGCGCGGCGGCGGCGGCTGTGGCTGCTAGCGGGCCTTCTCCCAAGTGCTCGCCGTGCTCTCGCTTGGCTCGCAGCGATGGCATTCCTGGCTCCGTGCCCAGCGACTGCCGTCTAGCACCCCTTCCCCCATCGCTCGACATGCACACAAACCAGCCCCATCGTTTGCAGCCCCCTCGTCTCCATCACTCCAGCGTGGCCCAGCCAGGCGTTCACGTGTCCACAGCAGCAAGACTGGTTCCGATGGTTCCCCCGGCGTCTGTCCACTCTCGATGTTCGGCCGATTCTACACCTGCTTTAATCAGAGCGTCCCGATGTCTTCCCCGGTCTGTTTTCCTTTTTGCCTTCCTTTGTCAGCCCAGTGAGCGTCTGGTCTTAGAGGGACACCGAGCTCTAATCCTGTTGTTCTGACAGGAGGACGGAGCTGAGCTCAGTGACCTGCGTCCTGCACATGGACAGAACCACCGCAGCCCCAACACGCTCATCATGCTCCGTGCCGTCACTATTAATGCTTTATTAATGCTGCCACAGCCAAAACTGCCTCCCTGTCGCAATAAGTGCAAGATATTGTACATATACAAGTCCACTACCTCTGTCCAGTATCCACTGTGTGCAGTGTACACTGTGCGCATTATTAACGTCATCTTTTTATATAGAGTTCTTTTTTTTGTTTGATAGATAGATGGATAGATAGATAGATAGATAGATAGATAGATGGATGGATGGATGGATATATAGATATATTTCTTTTATGTTTGTATAGTTGTTTACAAAGTTTTATATTTTAGTGTTTTGCACTGAAAGGCCTGGACCTTACTTTTCGTTGTACTCGTTACAATGACAATGAAACGAATCTGAATCTCTGACGTACGTGTGATGAAATGGTTTTATTCTCATCAACACCAGCAGTGAGTCTGTAGTCGTAGCTGGTTGGTTATCAGAGTTGTGTCTTGCGCTCATGTGATGCTGATCCAAAGCCAATCCACGTAGTGCTTTTATGCCGTCAGAGGGGCTGCAGGAGGTGCCAGCATCCGTCAAACTCTGAAGAACATGACGCACATCTGTCTGAGGCAGGCAGATGTTTGGAGGTAAAACGGCAGAGAGCCTTTCCGCCTGCTCAGGGACCAAATGTTTCTTAAACTGAAATCATTCCGACGCTTTGCTCGGTGCTCGCTGTCCTCATCCGGGTCGGAGGCCGACAGCAGCTCACATTAACTGGAGCATCTCTCTTATCCTCTGATCCTACATGACACAAGCCCCACTGATGCCTGCGAAAGGAGCAGCACCAGCTATATTTAGCGTGGCAGCTGCACCAGCAGGCCCCCTATCAGCCTGGTGGAGGTGAAAAATAGGCATTTATGGTTGGAAGTGGCAGCTCGCCGTGTTGTTGTGGTTTATTTTGGTGAATCTTGCTGAAGCTCAGGGTTGCAATGTGGACAACAGAAGGGTTGTTGCTGCTGCAGGTCTGTGGTCTGAGGTGTTGGTGGCAAAACTTCCTCACAGTGTTTCCTACTTTGTTTTGTGAAGATAGTTTGTCATTTAAGCAGCTAAACATTCAGTTTAAGTCATTTAGTGTTGCTGGAATACTTCGATACCGGCCATCTCATGATGAGCTTGTTTACTTTTTAGACTTTGGGATGTTTTTGCAGTAGTTTGGGTTTAAATTAGTTTTTTAACTTGTGCACATGACCAGCTGATTTGGATCATAGTTGGTGCCATTCTGACACTAAATCAATCAGAAGTACGTCCTCTAAAGACACAGTTGGTTGGTCTTTGTCGTGTTGGGACGCTCCTCTCGTGTTCCTGGGTTGATTCTAGTCGCCTGTTTATTGATTTAATTGTTTCTCAACAGCACAGTGTGAATTCTACAACACTGAGCCCTTGACAGTTTGAAAGAAGACAAACTCTCCACTAATTCCCAGCTTGCTGGACTGACTGTGTGCTGGCAGAGCCTTAACGGGCCGATGAAGACGGCCTGAGCTGTGATGGCGGCAGCGACCTGGAGGTTTGCCGTGGTGACCTGGCGTCAGCCGAGTCGGCGATGCCTCCACGAGACTTAGGTTCACGACGCAGCTGCAGGCGCTCTGTGGTGCAGAACTAACGTTTCTCACATCTTGTTGATTTGTAATCCATTAAACACACATTACACAAGTTTAATTTGCAGTTTAAACACTGTGTGCATTTGTTCAGGTTACCAGATTAGCAGAATCCATATTTATGTGCAGGAACGTGCACGAGATCACCTCTCACAGGGTCGAATAGAACAGTTACATGAAGTCAGTGCTGCTTAAAGTCTTTTCATGTCATTCATAGCAGCACCGTTTCCAGCTTGGACCGTCTGTGTGACTGATGTTCATTAGGACCACGACGTCTTTCCTAAGTTGGACTGTTGGCGACCGACATGTCCACCGCCTCTTCTTCTGGCTGCTGTAGTTTCAAATATCATATATATCTTCGTTTTTATTTATTTTCTTAATACCAGGAATGTTGTTTGATGACCTACAACATTTGAAAGATATCTCACACCAGCTGATGAGCAGAGCGACGGCCATCAGGCTCCGTTGGGTCGGCTTGTTTAGTTTTTGGATTACAAGTGGGCATTTACTGAGTTATTTTTTATGTAAATAGGGGCGCTGCAGCCAGACTGCAGGTTTACTTGTTAAATAAACGTTCAGTTAAATTCAGCAATGTCGTGTCGCACTAGTTGTTATTAAATCTGATGCGATAACAACAATAACAACATGAACATGAAACATGCTGTTGAATTATCAGCACTAAGCCATCCTTACAGCCGTTTTCTGACTCCAGCGGTGCTTTACAGCGCTGGCTGACGTCTGATGCAGAGCTGGGGATGAGGAGACCGTGCTCACAGCTACGTAACGTTTAAACCTTCTCCTGAACCCATCGCTCTCCTGACAGGCTCCACTGTCCTCCCTCAGCTGTTAATAGGACACTCACATTTGTGCTTTAACATGCATTACATGCCCAAGTCCACCTCTCGCCTTGTTTTTCCAGCTCCAGCGCTGAACCTGTGCAGCTGAGCTGTTTGAGCGCCGAGCTTCAGGGCGCTGTCTGTCTCCACCTGACTGCTCGCCGGGCCTCGGGGAGTGTTTGTTGCCAGGCAATGGCACACATCGCTGTCGCCTGCAGCAGCGTCGGCTCGGCTGGCGGTTTTATGTACAGCTTCACATGTAGCGTTCAAGGATTCCAGGCTGGTTCCTCTTCCCTCTGTCCTCAAAATCCCCGCTGCTAGCTTTCATTTATTTGTTGGTTTTTCTGTGTGGGCTGGCTGTGGAGTAGCTCCCAGCTGGATGCGCTTGCACATGAAACGGTGCAGCATGGTCGGGTGGTTTCAGCTCGAGTGGATGCTGAAGGTGTAGCACACCAGCAGTAAGGTATAGAGGGTGTGTTTCTGTGGTCTGCCTACACACAAGTTGTGTTGGGATTTGTTGGGTTGAGTTAAGAGGGGATCTCTGGGGCCCCACCACACTAGACCTACACTAGACCTGCAAGGCCTCTTAATAGTTCCCAGAAGCAGCCCTAAAGACCAAACTAAAACACTCTCGTCAAGGTATGTCGAGGTACGCTCCTCACGAGATGACCGCTGCCACACATGTGGCCTTGTGTCTTACAGCTGGAGTCGCCAACGCGCTGGTTCAAGGACGGCAACTGAACAATGCAGCTAAAAAGATGTCAAGAAGTCAGTGTGACTGGCGTTCACCTGCTGAGGCAAAGCTCGAATAACACCGTCTCTCTCTCTCTGTTTATATTTAAGCTGTGAAAAGAAGCAAAAAACATAAGAAGAGAACCATTTGATGGAAGATAAGAAAAAGAAAAAGCAAGAAGAGAAGAAAAACAAAGAAGCTGCACTGAAGAAGGTAAGCGTGTAGCGGGAGCTGTCCTGTCTCATGTTGTCGCTTTGATATCTCCTAAATGCTGTTCAGTGAGATCCGACATGAGAAGACCGTAAAACAAGATGCTTCCCCTCAGCCGCTCTTAGCACAGGGTTGAATAACACATTTATGTTAAGTTAATACAATAAATAGTTTCAGATTTTGGACTCTTGAATGAACAAAACAAAGAATTTTCAGATTTTTCAATGTAGTTTGTTTATTTCTGCTGTATTGTGATGGTTTATTGACCAAAGGATTAATCATGACAACAACAAGCTGCAGTATTTGCATGTTTTAGCCGACCCCTAACCAACCAAACCGCTCCACAGAATGCACTTACAACAGACTGGAGGCATGCACATGGACCACATGGATTTGGTCATGTGTGTTTCCTCAGGAAGCATCTTTATGTAGCCGTCCTCCTCCCACCTTCGCTCCTCTTTCCCTCCGGTGGCTCGTCTGTTTTCAGTGTTAGCTCGTCAGGTCAGACTGCCATCGTCCCGTAGCGTTGGTCCTCAGCGCTGGTAGGACTGTTAATGTATGGGAGCGACGAGTCCAATGAACCCGTTCACCCTGTGGAGCAGAACAAAACCAGGCCCTGAACATTTTGTTCTGATGCCCGGCGAGTTGCTTCAGTGTGAGAGAGCCCACTCACATGTTGTTGTCGTACTTCCGTGCATAAAGCCGGCATGGACCAAATGTGTGTCATTATCAGTCCGTTCTGTCGTTAATGTCTGTTCTTCTCTGTTTTCAGGCCACAGAACAGATAACCAAAGGTGAGTCCAGCTGCTTGTTTATCTTCACACACATGAAACAGATCATTCAGAAGTCGACTGAAGCTCGTGTTGGTCTGTGAGTCTTCTGCTGTGCCTGAAACACCACATGGCTGAAAGCGACCCTCTGCCAGATTTATGTGTCGTGACCTTTTTTTACGAGTTGTGCTGTGTTTTCTGTCAGGAGGTAGACTGGCTGTGCGGGGTGCTAAATTGTTAATCAGCCGAATTAGGTGGATAACTGTGTGTGCAGGATCGCCTTTTAGCTACTCGCTGTCCTCGCTGCTAGTCTGAAACATTAGCTTCTGCAGTGAGACATTTCCAACTGAAAACATTAGCCAGGTGGTCTGGTTCTACCTGAGCCCAAATAGAAGCCAGGTGTCCACAGCAGACTAATGGGGAGCGTGGGGACGGTGCAGCTGCTCCTCAGGCCTCCCCATGGGCTCCTCAGGCCCGCCAGCAGGGTGGAGGTGAGGAGCCGTCTCAGAAGAAAAGGAAACGGAGCGAAATCACCCACAAACACACCTGACATGTGAATAAGGCTGACAGGAAAGTGGCCTCTGTTGTAAAGAGTGGACTTAGCTGAAGACCGGCTCTCCTGCCTCTGCCTCCTCCAGCCAGGTCTCCTAATGAGCACAGATGTGGGAGGCAGTGATGGGCAGCTGCTGTCGGCTGTGGTCAGACTGGTTAGTGGACAACATGGGTTTCTAAGGGCCGATGTTGATTATTGGTAATCAAGAAAGGCCAATAACCAATATACCTTAAAAGTAATGTTGTGACAGCAGGAAGCTGTCATTCATAACTGGGCCTCTTCATCAATAAGCTGACTGTGACTGAATAAGTCAAACAGAAACAGGAGAGATGAAATGATCTCCTCTGTTTATGTGACTGATCAGTTTGTCTCCTGATCAATCATCTCTGTGTTCTTCATCCTTCTCTGTCCCATCACTGTTATTATCTATAAGGTCCACATCCTACAGCGTTATCGATTCCTGTCTTCCAGTTAATCTGTAGCTGCCTGCTAACTTAGCCGCTAGCCATTAGCATAGCATTAGCCACTATGAGAGAAGCTAACTTCCTGTTTTGTGTTTCTTGTTCAGTTTTTCTGCTTGAGACTCATTTCTGAGCGAGAGGAGCTGCATGAGAGCCTACTGCCACGTTTAGTGAGCATTAATCCAGGCCGGACCGGTGATTGATCCCTGGTTCGCGCTAATGTGTCGTCGTCTTTGGTGGTTCATTCTGTTTAGATCAGTGAGAAGCAGCGAGTCGGCGTCTGTTCTGTTGGCCTCCCTCTCTCTCTCTGGATGGGCTAATGAGGCCACAGCTACTCCTCCGGTCCGACTCAGCCTCGGCCCTCCACTGTTTGCTGCACTAATGAACGTGCGTTACGATTCGTTTTGTCTCTGATGGACGTCGTGTTGCAGCCACAGATCGACCTATACGCTCAGCTCTTCTCCTCAACTTCAAACTAGTCTGTGATGAGCACAATTATTTCCAGCATCATGCCGCGACCTCATTTCGTTCTGATCTTTACCCCTTTCAAATGTCACATGTAGCATTTTAGCCCATCGTGTGCATTTGTGTCTGCAAAGAAATTCATTCTGAGGATTAATTATAGGAGTTCTTTCCCCGATCAATTGTTGTTCACTTGAAAACCTGTCAGAAGGTAAATTCAGGCAGAAGATCCATAAAATCCAGAGTTTATGTCAAATGAGAGCCTATTTCGTAGATGTTATTGACAACGATGGTATTTCATTGTGATGAGTGACGACGAAAAGCAGAAAAATCACCTTTTGACACGATAAGCGATGAACTGACCAGTTCGCTAAGACAAGGGTGTGATACCAATGCAAGGTACAGTGGGAGCTAATTAGGAGAACAGGGCCAGTGTGGAGGCTGAATAAACAGGCATCCGTACACAGGAGGTTTCTGGAGACCCCAAGCACTATAGTAACCCTCCACCGCCTCCTGTCTGGTCGAGCACTGAGGCCCACCCTGGGCCCAGAGGAGGAGGAGGCAGGAGGGAGAAGGGAGCTGCAGAAGGTGGGCTGCCAGGGACAAGATGCAATGAATTGTTGTTGCATTAGTGCGAAGCGTAGGGAGGCGGCTGCTAAAAGCACGCTGCCTCTGGTTGATCTGAGAGAGCTGGAAAACGGCATGCGAGAGCAAAAGAAACAGACGGAGCCATGTGAAGCTGTGAGAATGCACTCCAGTTTCCTGTTTGCCGGCACAGCTGAGGGGCCCTTTGTAGGATATTTCAACCGGCTCGTTTGTGTGACACGCGTTCTCCCTCTCCCAGGCCCACAACGCGACGGCAGAAACACCATCAGCATACGTGCATGGTGTAGGTTTACACTGCTACTCACAAACACTCTGCCTCGGTCGGCCACACGGAGAGAGTTTGTCAGCAAACGTTCAGCTCAGACCTACAGCAGTCTGCCATGAGTTTAGTGGATAGTCTGCAGCGGAGTGAAAGCTGTCCATCATGGCTGCTGCAGACTGAGGAGGAGCGTCTGTCTGGGTCTGGGTGGTGTGCTTGTGGTGTGAAAGAAAATGAACCAGCTGCAGGATTTATGATGGCATGATTACAGCATGATAGGAGTCCAGAAACAAGCTGCTGTTAGTCAGCATTGATCTTGTGTTCTGACAGTTTATTAGAAGTGAGTGAATAAAGGCAGCACTCAGTAACCGTCCTCCTAAAGAGCACCCAGCAACACACACTGTATTCCCACCTGAACATCTTCATTTATAAAGTAAAGGTACAGCTGGACTCTCCCCGGTGGGTTCACTGATGATGAGGAGAAGAGGACTGTCCAATCAGTGGCTTTCCTGTGCGACTAAATCTGATGTGAACACAAACCAAACTCTGTCCTTGTTGTGAACAAATGCTGCAGGTTTGTTTGCACGCTGTAGCGTTAGTAAAAACCTCAGAGTGTGATTGCAGAGTGTTTCTACAGCCGGCGCTGCACCAACAGAAGCTCAGCCAGTGCTGATTGGAGCAGAAACTTAACTACATTAATGAATCATTTTATTTAATCCAGTTGTCGTTTTCTGCGCTTATCTGGGTCACACTTACTCCATTAATTATATCTTTGGAAGTGATGATGATATATCGCTATGAAGTGCGGAGAGTGATGCAATAAATAATCCTTCAGACCTCTTTGTTGTTCTAGAAGCAGGGTTAACATTGAACCTGTTGCTAGATCTCCTGGAGTCACAGCACCCTCAAGCATTCACACGTTAAACTGAAGCTGGATTCATGCAGCTGTAGTAATCCTCGTAAACCTTTTCTGTTGTGGAGATGCTGTTGTCACATGATCAGACATCGGCATTACAGCAAAGTCCAACCTTTACAGCCTCGACCAGTTCCCAGTGCAGCTCACCAGTTCAGCAGTCATGGGCTCCAGCAGAGGCCTTCTGCTGCCAGCACGCTGCACAGGAGTTGATTTCTGAGGCTTAATGAGCTTTTGTGTTTCTGTTCATGCCATGCATTCTCCTCCTATCAGAGACGGGCCACAACATACAACACGTCAGGGCGCACGTTTACGCAGCGCAGTCAGAGATAACGTTATAAAGTAGTGTCGCAGCAGTAATTCCATAACAGATTAATTTGCCGTTTCACGTTCGCTTAATTACGCCCAGCTCTTTGTGTAGGGGAGCCATAACCTGCGGTGCTATCAGGGGGATTCTAGCCCTTTTGTTGTCGTCACCGCCTCTCCTGCTCGTCTCATCCAAAGAGCTGCAACGGAGGCAGCGTCGCCATGATGAGCGGCATGTAAAGAACTGCAGGAGGAACAGCTGCTGGTTCGCTATAAATTGTGCACATGAGGCTGTTGTCGGTGCACATTGTCACATCACTGATTTAACTTATCTTTAGCCCAACATGTCCCACTGTGGGGTCCAGCTGCAGTGAAACCCAACAGAATCGGGTGCCATCTATTTTACTTCATCCACTTTTTCTCCCTTTTAATGCAGAAAGATAGATATTTCCACTTGGAAAATTTGCATATCTTGTCTTGAGTAGTGCTAAGTGACCTTTCCTCCTGCCCTCTTGTGTTTTCTGTATAATATTGCAGTTTGAGTGGTTTTTCGGTGGGTTGTGTGGCTTGCCAGGTGCCGCCCAGGTCAGGAGGACGAGACGTTCTGCTCTTTTTCACACTCGACTTCCTCTAAATCATAACAGACAGTGGAATCTGGCAGCGATGGCCAGGGACAGGGGAGCCTCTGCAGGTCGACAGTAGGTCTGAGCAGAGACGCTTGGTGATCGTTAACGGAGGAAGCAGCCGTGCAGAGTCTTAAAGCGCTCAGGTGTGCGGTTTGGTTGCATTGTTCAGACGTCTCGTTACCATGTGATTAATGCTCTGACCTATATAGCCTTGAGTTCTCTGCACAGCGCTGCCAGACTTTAAGCACTTTTAAATAGCGTTTTTGTCTGTGTAACGTGATGCAGGCAGGGTTTTCCCTCTTAACTACCGTGTCATATTTATTCACTTGTAATTAAACCCTTTAATCTTCTCTCTTGTGAGACGCGCTGCTCACATTTTAAAGCCCACAGGAGGAATGAGACGGAGACCCCCAAAGACACGCCTCCCTTCCTCGTTCACGATCCGTTGATCCTCTCTCCGTTACTTTCATTAGATGTCTGATCTTTACTTATAGCAGGAGGATGCACTGACACAGTTCAGCAGCAGAGGCAGCGCTACGACGCTCCTGACAGACATCCATCCCAGAGAGTGTCTGAACACACAGACATGAAATGGCTTTAGCCACTTTGTCTAGATTAGGGCTGGACCCAAATACCCCCTGTAAGGCCTGTAGCCTGATGGACAGTGAGCATCAGCGATCCTGTTTAGGTCACCAAGATGTTCTTTAGGTGGTTTGTGAAAAGCTCCATTCATTAGTTCGGCCGACCTGAGAGCTGCCAGCAGCGACTGTCTGAACGACGCTGTTTGATTCCTGCACCAGCGGGATGCTCTTGTCGATGCGTCACACTGATGACGCCAGCATTCAGCTTTTCCTTCATGGAGACTCTCTGGCTATCACACAATCCACTGTCATGACTTTCAGGGCTTATTTCAACCACGTTAACGGAGTGGAGCGCTACATAGGCATGAGGAAACACTGTGGAGCATTTAGGAATCAATAACAAACAGCTGGATGTGGTGCAAGATTTGAGTTGCAGCCTGTTTGAACTGCTCACATGTAAAGTCACGCAACCACGGGTCTGTTTAAGTCAGGAGACGTTCAGCACACGTGTTTTTCTCTACATCGAGTTCCTATCGCCTGTTATTGACAGTAAGCGCTGAGGAATGAACCAATGAAAGCGTTTAAATTCCCAGCATTGTGCTTCATGAAACAGCTGACATGAAGCTGTGCCAAGTCTGAACCATGGCCGTTCTTTAGCCTCCTCCTGAGGCGAGCCGCTCACAGCGAGCCCGGTTCTACCGACCAGCCCGTCACACGCTAACTACCAGTGTTGTTGTTACACTCTTCCTGCAACATTAAAAAACATATCTGTGGTCCTGTAGCCGTTGGTCCAGCCACGCTGACTGACAGATAAAGACGACTCTGTGGACTGAGGTGTCTCACGACTTTCCTTCTCTTTGCTGAATATTCCCAACAACAGTTGAATGAGTCCGAGGGAGGTCTGCTGCCGACCTTCTGTCCATAGACACAGCTGTTGTACTGTCATGGTGCTTCTGAAGTCCACTGACTCTTCAGTTTAGTCTTAGTCACCACTGCTTGTATTGAGTGTGTGAAGCTGATGGTGTCGGTGCTGTCTGTCTCGATGGTGACCCGAGTATATAGTCGGTGCTTCTCATCCTACATGGACCGGCCAGTCTACCTGTGAAAGGTTCTCCAGTGGGTCCTGAACAGCTGCTATTTGAGAAAACTCACACACAGAAGCATCCTTTATCTTCAAGGTCAGGTGGCCTGTTTTTCTACTTCCACCCGAGAGAGATAAAGGACTGTGGATGCTTCCCACCCTCTCCTCCTCCTCCGCCTGCCCTCCACTCTTTGAAATCTCCCCAGACAGCCTCCCCCAACCTCCACGTCTTAAACAGTCAGGCAAGCATGCTATCATCTCTTCTCTTGGAAAATTAAGACCTCTTTTAAAGTGGAAAATGGGATGTCTTCCTCTGCATGAAGCACATACAGCCCCAAGGCCAGGGTTTGATGTGCATCTTTGATGAACTGGGAATTCTCCTGTGCAGCTGCACAGCTGAGGACTGTGTTTTTGCAAATAGGCTGTCAGAGAGAGCGACTGATCTCGTTTCACTCTGTTCCACTGCTCCTGCCTTGTGAGACACATGCTCAGGAAGCCACACCTGCCAGGAACATTTATTGTTTGCTTGCAGTTTGTTTGATCGATCTGATTATTTTCATGATGATAAAATGTGCAGTGCGGCGTTGTGCCTGTGCAGGACTGTGCCACCGTTCTGACCGAGGAGTGCGAGCAGCGTGGCTTACTGTCGGCAAATAGTGTTCTAATTGTAAGCGGCTTTGGAGCCAAGCTGGTTTGAGGCAGTGAGACGGAGGCTCACGGTGGAGCTCTGGGGGTGGAGTCACTCCCTCCCTGCTCGCCTCCTTCCCTTCCTCCTGAACGTCGACTCTCCCTTTCCCTCCCCGTCCCTCCTCGTTTCTCTCCTCCAATTGGCCGACGGAGCAGCCAGCTATCGTCCCCCTTCCCCCTCAGCTTCCAGAAGAATCTACGTCACACATCAGAGTCCCAACTGTACACGATCGCCTCCATAACTATTATTACACACGGTGGCGCGAACACAAAGTCCTCGTCTGCTTTTAAGGGGAAATCACCTCAGCGGGGGAGAATTGACCGGGAATTACGGTGTCCATCTGCCGCCCTTAACGCAGTAATAATGACGAGAGGATAATAGTAGATCACTGGAGTTGAAGGAGAAAGGGGGAGGGGGAGCACAGGAAGGTGGGGAGGGATGAGGACGGAGAGGAAATGGAGCAGATGTAGAGAAATCTGATGAGCTCCGGCAGCTTCCCCCACCGATCGCTGAGCTGCAGGGAGACGGCGAAGCGGTCGGCGGCTGCAGCCTGTAGAGGAACATGCAGATAAATGAGGGAGAAGAGCCGAGTGTGGATGTTCCACGACACCGCCATGCCCTCTCCCCTCGTGTGGGCCTCAGCATTACATAACTCTTTGTTTTTGTGGCGCTGGCCGCATGTGTGCGAGTTATTCATTGCTTCACCGCACACGCTGGCGACGGCAGCCAATGGCGACCCGCTGCTCTTTATAACCCGTTTAGGCCGCACAAAGATTTTCTTTTTCTTCTGGTGGCTGGTTTTGTAAGCCCTCCCTCCCTGCAGCAAGAACTCGCATACAGCAGACGTTATGTCCAATCAGCTGACGGCTGGGTTGTGCTCTCGTACAGTACGTGTGCGTTTTAGATGCATTCTTGCGCTTCCTGTTTACATTGTAGTTTCCCAGTTTATTGTGTTACGTAATGAAATGTGCTTGGTGTCCCATAATGCATCTCATCCAGCAGCGGCTCTGTGTTCCCGAGCTGCTGATCCTGTCTGACGTAGTCCTGACCCTTAACCTCGTACGTCCACATTCAGCTACTGTAAATTAGCCTGCAGGGGATTTAAACTTCACAGCTCCGTGAAGTTTCTTCTTCTCAACGTGCAAAACCGAATGTGGAGCCAGTGTTGAAAGCAGCTAAAGTTTATAGTTGTTTAGGTGTCACTCATCATCTGACAGAGTTTTCTCCACAAAAATTAGCAGAAAGACCCATTTAGACACTTTGAAAACCATCCTTCTACAATTCAGTGCTTGTTGACACCCTAAACTCCGGTGGCTTGTTCAGGAAGGCTGCTGTGGTCTTGTTGAGGCCCCTGCACCATCACCAGCTCTATCTGTGCTCGTTAGTCAGTGTCTGGTGAATATAATGGAGAGCCAGACATTTACCTCAGCAGCTGGTAGAGACCAAACAGGAGCTAAAAAAAAAAAAGACCAAACAGTGGACGTGGATTCGCCATGAGCACCACTCCACATGATGATGATGTCTGTCTCTGTTGTTGCTCTTCAGTTGGTTTTAACAGTGATAATGTTCACAGCTGCCACGCGTCGCAGGAGACCAAAATAAGTGACTGCAGGTCTGAGAAAGTTGCTGCTTGGCTGAATAGTTGGAAAGAGATGAGCGGCAGCCGAGCCCAGGCCATGGGAAGTGGCCGGTGGAGACTGTTGCTACGGGTAACTAAAGCTAGTGAGACACCAACGTTGGCTTCAGCAGTTAATGACAGCAGCTTTGGTAGAGCCTGAGAGGTGATCATTTCAGGGCCTTAACCTGCCACAAACCACGGACGGCTGACGCTGATAGGCCGAGCGCTCTTCACAGGACGGTCCTGATGGAGACGGCCGCCCACGATGATGCAGCAGGACGCTCTAAGTCCACGCTCTGGTGCTTGACCTCTTCATCACCAAGATGTCTGTGAACAGGCTTCGTGGTCGACTGAGGGAGCTGTGTGTCTTGGCCTTCCCTACAGTACCACCCTGAGATTATTACAGTCCTCTGATCCTCTGAGACCCGCATGTGTTCAGACTTCAGCCGTATCTACTGCGTTTGTAGACATCTCCTCATTTGCCTTTCTGGATTTAACTTGATGGTCGTCTTCCAAAAGTGACCGTGGCTTTTTATAAAGAAGCTGTGGAGGAAATGCTCGGCTGCCGCAGCGTTCCAGAAAAAACCTGGGCTGTTCTGGTGATGGCAGCAGCTTTCAGTAAATCTGTTGTTTTTTTGCGTTTTGAAATGTCAGTTATAATACGAAGTCAGAACCAGAGAGACTTTACTGTTTCCATTCAGAGGCTCAGGATTCGTTGACTGAACGTCTGTCCTCTGCAATCTGTACGCTGTTGCATTTATTTATTGATGCACTATCCATTTATTTACATGTTTGTCTTTGACTATGTGTTCTTTAATTCATTAATGTAATTATCAGAGGTCTGTCTGCTGCTGGAGCTGGGTAACGAACTTCCCTCTTGTTTGAATGACGATAAAATGAACTGAACTGAAAGAAACTTTAAAAAGAAGATAAATAGAATAGAATTATTTTTGTTGATCCCCTATTGGGGGGAATTTACACGCCACAGCAGCATCCAAAATATAGAAAGAAAGTACAAGAAAATAACAATAATTAAGTAATAAAATAAGTATGTACACAAGATGACAAAAATATTCAATTGAATCAAAGAAATATGTCCAATATTTACACTGGAAAAAGAAACAGATTGTGCAAACAAAATATAAACATAAGTAGAAAAATGTGCATTGTACGGGGAAGATAGAAGCATGCAGTGTCACAGATCAGCTCTGATTGTGTTGTTGCACGTTTCTGAGCATCTTTATGAGTCAATCAATGCTTTTGTCCCAAACGGACCTACACGTTGCCCGCTAGTCCAGCAGTAATGTCTGGATGCTGCTGTGCGCTCAGCAGCTCTGCTTTGCCTAATGCCTCCTCCACCCCTCACACCTGCGTTTCTCTTGTCACCTGTCCCCTCCACCCCCTCCACCTCCGCAGTGCCAGGCTCTGTAAAGCTCGACCCCATCCCTCCTCTTCCCCCCATCAGCCCCAGCGCCGTCCCGTCTGTTCCCCCAAGCAGTGGAAATGGCCAGCGGTGCCCATCGGGAGGCCAGCCGCAGACAGCACCCCCGGTCCAGCCCCCGGTCCAGCCCCCGGTCCAGCCGCGCTACCCGGCCAGAGAGGTGCCTCCACGCTTCCGGCAGCAGGAGCACAAGCAGCTGCTGAAGAGGGGCCAGCCTCTGGCCTCCGGGACACTGCCGCTCAGCGCCACTAGTGAACCTATACGTTCCTCTCCTTGCTCCTCCACAGCCAGCCTGCCCACAGGTCAGCCTGGACACGCTACGGCACATCTCTCATTCCCTTCCTTTGTGCAGCTTAGTTAACATGACAGCCTGCCGTATTTTACTGACAGTGTATCAGGTCTGCTCGTGTCCTGACATGGAGTGATGCAGAACTTTTCCTTCGCTGAGAGTTAGGCTGTGCGGCTTCGTCAGTCTCGTGCTTGTGCGGACACTATGAGAATCCCACAACAGCAAAGAGGATCATGCAAATATTAAGGACATATCAGTAGAAAAATAAAAGATAAACAAAAGTATACAGTGCAGATTGTCCACATTCCTGCACATATTAATGGTATTCCACGGCTTCATTCATGAGTAGATGAAAAATAAATACCGACAGAGAAGTATTCATGTTGCACAGAAAAACAGTGACTGCAGAGTTTTTAAATGTACAAAATATTCGGAAATTGCAGCTATGAAAGGGTTGATGTTGCACCAAAAGGCAGCTGAGAGCAGAGCTGACAGGTGTTTTAATTAGAACTCTGCAGAAGATGCAGCTTTTCAGTGCAGCGTCCTTTTAAGAAAAGCTTAGCCAGACAAGCGCTGACCAGAGGAACAGTTTCCTCTGAGAAATCTAACATGTTACTTCCATAATGTGAGACCCAGCTGGCTAAAGCTGACACCAGATCTGTTGACAGCAGCCATGTTGGAAAATGAAACTGCTGAATTTACAACATGCTAGAAATTCAAATAATCATCAGATAACAGAGTATTCAGACAATCACTCAGACTTACAGACCTCCTTCAAAACACAAGTCAGTTTGTCAGAAGTTATGCCAGGTTCTAAGATGCATTTGGTGGCAACGTCACCCGTTGGTTTCTGCACTGAGAACATGAAGCCAGGGTTTTGCTACTTCCTGGTTGACATCTTGGATTTTTGGAGCCAGTGATGCAAAAATCGTGGGAGGGGGGCGGAGCCATAGGAGCAGCGATTGGTCAGACGGATTGAGAGGCGGGCCCTCTCTGCCCCGCCCACATTTACCGCCTTCTGCTCGCTTCGTCTGCATCGTCGCTGCCGACTGTCAATCAAACCAGCCACGCCCCTTGAGCCGCAAAATGTGGACGATTTTTTAAAAATTCAGTATTGATTTATTTTCAGATTGGCCACCTGATCTCTGGACCTGACCATGAAAACTAAGAAGAAAAAAATCCTGAGCTGTAGGAATGCAGGATTTCGTGATCTGTGATCACTTCTTTTCCAGTTCCAGTCTATGGGAGCCAGGGCTTTGTGGAGCCAGCAGCTAGTGGACGTAGTGATGCTGCAGGTTTTTGACACTTCCAGGTTGGCTTCATTTTTCCGGGGCCGGTTGCTACGTCCATCTTTTATACAGTCGATGGTGGCGACCAGTTCGGGGTTAGAATCCCGCTCCATGTCCAGCCGCCCTGCTCCCCGACACAAAGGGCTGAATTATTATTATTAAGCTCTATAAGACTGTTTCACTATTGCAGCTTTGATACCAAGTCATGAATCAATCAGACCGTCACCATCACAAAACACTAACGGGGACTTTTTGAGGTTGTAAACGTTTTAATGGATGTTGTAGACATAAAATGTGAACAGAAACTCGTTGACTTTACATTCTGTGTGCAGATTAAGATGTGTGTCTGGGAGCAGTGTAGATGTGTTTGTGAAGTTTCCTGCTTTTGTTTAAAATGCTCTCCATCACTGTTTGAATTCTGGCTTTTAGTCTAACTTGTGTTCGACCGGCGGACTCAAAATATCTTCGTCTGTAACTCGTGTTACTAGAACTTTGGCATCGACTCGGTGCTAAAATATCAGCTCTCGTGACGAGCAGCTGCTAGGTTCTGTCAGGTTGGCCAGAAGAGGTTCTGTGTTACTGCTGTGGACAGACAGCGACTACTTCTACTGATGTTTACGTTGTGCGCTGCGGTAGTGATGATGCGACGTACCTGCAGAGCAGAAGCTCACGCCTCACAGGTGCTGCTGACTGCTGTTTGTTTTCTCTCTGGCTGACTGGGAATAGGAATGGGACAGAGGAGGAATACAGGCAGAGGATGAGAAGTAAACACAGCTGGCAGTCTTTGCATGTGTGTGTTTTTCTTCCCGCTGCTTTACGTGTGACGATAAACAGACTGTGTGTGTTTTAAGAGGTCACGTTCTGTAGTTTCCTCATAAACCAGTACCTGCTCTTTGGAGATGTTTAAGGCACTTTGCACTTTTTATTGTCTGAGGAGGAAGCGTCGCCATGAGCCGTGTTTGAGCATCATCCAGCTCCTCTAATGCTGTTTGCATGCAGCTTTATCTCCATGGCGATGAGAAGTTTATCCTCTCCTCGTCTCTTTCTCCTCCTTCTCACCATCATCATCCTCCCACTCTCCGTTTGGCTTTGCTGACCAGCCCTTCAGTACTTCCTGCTTCAGGAGGAGGAGCGATACGGAGCGAACTAGTTGGCTGGCTGCCTCGGTGGGCCTGACCTGGCACAGATAGAAGGACCGAGTGAGGAGGAAAGAAAGAAAGAAGGAGCGAGCGAGCATGGCAGAGGTCCAGCTCTGTGGGCTGAAGTGACTCATGGCTTACGGTAAAAGCTGCTGCTTCTCTCCGCCCCTCTTCTGGCAGCCCGGCTCAGCTCTGCTTCTCCCTGTGTCTTTGAATTGACTGATTGCATTAGGACAGACAGACAGACAGGAGGCCTTCCAGACTGACAGACTGACAGGAGTGCAGTGGGACGGCTTCTCCTCCATGTACGCGTATTTCATGCCGAACTGTGCAGCTCAGGGATGCACAGAGACGATTCTACAGGTGTCACCTTCAAAAACTGCTTGTTTCTGTTGTTCTACAATATGCAGCATTATTATTTAACGCTACAGTGGATCCTCCTCCATGGCTCCGGCTGCAGAGAGGACGACTGTCCCCTTCTCTGCTTTCATGCCTTCCTGATAGCCGGCAGCAGAAGCACACTAGCTGCATTCATCGCCTCCCCTTTCCACCGACTGCCCTTAACCCCAGCCGTGTTTCATTACCTGGTCACATGCTGACAGGCGTGTCCTGTGTGTGTGTCCATGCCACACATTTGTAAACACAAACATTGTCTTTCTCTGCAGTCTTGGTGTGTGCGTGTCGTTTCTCTGCTGTGAAGGCCTCTGGGTGTGTTTCAGGGGTCCAAGTTCATGGGATAAGACTTCTTATGCTTTCTGCATATAACAGTAGTCCTCACTGGAGGAGTTTAGTTATGTGGCCACGCCAAGCACACAGCTGTTGGTCAGATTAGGAACATTTATCAGTCTGTGTTTGACAGTAAAGTCCTCCTCTCCTTGACAAATATAGTCTTACTCTTAGCTAATCTGACAATTAGCTTGTAGTGCTAATGTGCTGGTGATGGCACTAAAAATGTAAAGCTTCCCCTGATTGCATCTGCCTCACGCCCTTCGTTGAAGCCTATAAAATACTGATCAGAGCTTTGTAAGGCAGCAGTAGACACCGACAACAACACGTTTCAATGTAAACAGGCCTCGTCAAGGGGGAGAGCAGCAGCTAATGTGCTAATGGCTTCTCTGGTGCAGAGCGGAGAGAACATGCATGCTAGACTGGATGTGCTCTTTAAGTCTGCTGATGATGCTGTAAAAGAGCCTTGGGAATCCCCTCAAAGAGGACTGGGATGTCTTGTGATGTGATTAAACATCAGCTCTCTGTTAACCACAAATGTTGAGCGCGCTCTCTCTCTCTGCTCTGACTGTTTCTGGCGTGCTCGTTGTTCTCTAGTGCACGTGTTCTCCTCCTCCACCTCCACCAGAACCACCGCTCACATACTGCCGTTGGCCCGAGGGCAGCCAGGATTAGTCAGGCTGCTCATACTATATGTTCGTCTGTCAATCTGCCCGTTATTATAGCCTCCTCCTCCCAGTGCTGCCTTTTGCTTGGCTAACAATCGCTCTCCTCAGGCCCTTCCATGTAGTGGAGGCATGAGAGAGAGAGCTATTTTAAGACTGGCACGCTGAAGAAAGACCTTGACCTGATTTATCCTTTGGAGGAGGAGGAGAAAGAGGATACTGACGGGCAAACATGACGGCCAGATGTCATAGTTGTACTGTTCAAAAGGCACATGTTGTCGTTGTATTATTACCAGTGCAGCTTCAGCACAACCCCAACACAGCATTAGAACAGAGTTCTGCTGGTTCTGGCGGTTTCACGTTGTCTTGTCAGGAAGTGTTGCACTCAGAACCTTAAATCTCCTGTCATGATGTTTAAAAACCTATTATTAACCTTATTATTTATTGTTAAATTATATCTAACCAGCTTATGACCTGCTGGTGCAGCGATGCCATGGTACGCTCCGTGGTGCCAACCCAGTTCAACACTCGTTCAGCTCCTAAGATGAGTCATCGGTAATGATGCTTCATTTTTTTTTTTGATAATTTCACTTCCTGTTACTTATGCGTTGTGCAAAGTACATTGTAGAAAAAGCATATTTATGCTCAAGTTCAAATTCTAAAATATTATATTTAAATCAGTCTTTCTTCAAAACAGAGTCAAAAATGCTCTGTTCACTCTTTGTGTGGCAAAGCTAAGCATCAAATCTGCACATCTGAAACCGAAAAGGTCGACGAAAAGGCCAAACAACAAACTGGTAGATTTAGCGACTTTACATTTGAGCTTCAGACTCATTTATTTGGCAAAAGGAACACGTCAGTCCGTGGGTTGCGCTGTGATGTGAAACCTAAATTAACTGAGCCAGTCTCACTTTAAAACAGACTGAAATGTCCCACATCAAAGAGAGCAACACAAGTAGACGTTCTGAGTTCATTCCTTCCTGTGCTTTTGTGTTGCTGCCTGCAGAAGCACAGAGGAAACATCACCGCTGCTGGTTCTGCTGGTACAGTTGAGGCTTGTTACCAGTATATTATGGTGCATAAACACCATGTTTTTAATAAATCCCAGTAAGAAGTGCTGTAACTCTTCGCTGGACTGAAGCTGTTTGCTCTGCAGATGTGACCCTCGTGTCTTGGTGCAGCTCTGATAATGTTCTGCACCGTTTGCGATCATCACGCGTGGAGCAGTACATTCCTGGAGGTGCATGTTTGTGTTGCTGTTTGTGTGTCTGTCAGCTCGTTCATCTGGCTGGCAGCCTGCGTTGTCAGCTCCGTACCATCCAGCCTCTGTGCCCCTCGGGGACTTCATTAAGCCGGCATCAGTACAGCTGAGGCCCGCACAGCCCTCCTGGATTATTTCCTCCTCTTTTTCAACACCCATCTCCGTCTTTCATTTTCTGTCTTCGCTATCTTTCATCCCTCTCCGTCGTTCGCTCCTTCTACCCCTGTTCTGTTCGCCTCCGTATGCACACCTTCCAAACATTTATGCGTGCCGAAGATAGAAAAACACATTTAGCACAAATAGTTTAGATTGTGTGTTTGGGAAGTGTTCTCTAAATGGAGTATCACAGTGTAATGTGATGAAGTGACGTTGAGCATCCTTCTCCAAAAGGTTCAGAAGTGAAGGACTTGCCACTGAGAACAGAAAGCAGACTGGATCACGTAATATAGAATCAAGAAAAGGGAATCTTTCAGTGAGAAAATGGTCCAGAGCACAGCAGCTGTCTCAGAGTCCTGACCTAAATCCCAAAGAGCACCTGAGTGAAGCTCCGGCCTTTTGTTTCTCACTGAAACACAAAGAAAATGTTCGCTGCAGCGTCGCACGGCTCATTTTATCCTGTATAATATAGAATGTATGTTCACCACCGGTGGAAAACTACAAAACGCCAGAACAAATCAGGTGTCCAGATAGTTTCCTTTTCTTATCTAATACGGTGAGAGTCACACGTTTAGGTGTGCGAACACTTTCTGGTGGTGAATGCTGTCGGAGGTCTACAGGAAGGTTTTCCCGTTGATCTGAACCTTCAGGAAGTACAAGTGTGGATGCAAACACTGCCCGGTGTGTACGTTAGCACACAGAGCGAGCGGCCGTGACCTCACCGTGTGGTCGGCTCGGGAGCTGAGCCTCGGCCATAAAGGGACTCTGTTCTCCGCCAAACATTGACTTATTGTGTTGTTGTGTGGGCGCTGGGATCATTTGTACACAATAGCCGCCTTGATCCGCGGTGCTGCTCTCTTTCTTTTGCCAAGCTCCGTGCCATTCCTGCCCTCTTCCCTCCATCCTTCTGGATCTCTTCCTCTGTTGTCTCCGTGTAGCTGCGGTGCCACGTTTGGACCCAGATTGCGGGTCAGTGATCACGCAAGCAGATCCATACAAGCTCGCTCAGTCACGTGCTGGCCATGTGTCCAGGCCGCTTTCTGTCCCCAGCTCGCTGTTTACAAGCGCCACGTTTCGACTTGTAGTCATAAATTTATACAAAAACAGACTAGTCATCGTGTGAGATCTGATTATCTGCCCGTTCATACATAAACATGTGCATATGTGTGAGAAAATGTGCGATTCCGGCCCGGGAGGGGGTGCAGCAGGCTTTTGTCGGGGCTCTCATGCTGTCTCCTGCCTGCACTGCCATTCAAGAGGCTTCCATTGTGGGCGGCAGTGCTAATTGCAGATGGAGCTAAATATTTAGTGACAGTTTTGAAAGGTTGAAAGATGCGAGGGTGAGGGGGTGAGGGGTAGAAGAGTCCCCCCTTTGTTTTGTTTTACCTCGTGCCTTGTGAGTGCATAATGAAAGTCTCCCCCTTTTCTCTCCAACACTCCCATCCCCTCCCCCCAGCAGCCTTGTTTCAGTGCTTTTCCAGAGAGGGAGAATATCCTCGGTCAGGATAGGAATAGAGCACGATATAAATAAAGCCAGAGGGAGGCAATAGATAGAAGAGGAGAGACCCAGTCAAAGCAGTGTTGGTGGGAGGGACGGAGCATGAGGGGTGAGGAAGGAAGGGAGGGGAGAGGAGGGAAGGTTGTCTCATGCCGCGCAAGAGCTGTGCAACTTCTTGGCAGCATTTCAGAAATGAGCCTCAGAAGCTTGGCGAGCCGAGCAGACATATTGAGACAAGGATGGTCGCTGCGCTGCACAAACGCTAGCTCTCTACAGGATGGTTGGGAGGCACCTCTCCACAGGTATTCATCATCTGTCTCTCTCCTGTCTGCCCGTCTTTCTCTCTCTCTGCCTCTTCTGCGTTTGTTTTGGCTGCGTGTCTTTACGCACCGTGCGAACAAGCACTTCTAAACGTTAAGGCTGCAGCGACAGTGCATGGCGGACGTGCCGTGTTGAGTTCTTACGCCGTGTGTTTATTACTGCGTGAGCGACGAGCTGAAGCAGATACAGGCAGCAGATCAGAGCCTTTCTGGCTCCGGTTCAGGACTGAGAAAATGGCGGTCTGCACTTCTCAGCAGAGTGACGCTTCAGAACGACAGCGCTGTGTCAGAAACACAGTGCCCTCTTTTCTTCCCTCCTGCTCGCTCGCTGCAGCCGCTCTGCCTCTCCTGTACTTGCAAGCATCGCAGCGAGCTTGGAAACAGGAGGTGGTGCACAGATGCTGTCACTTCCCTCATGTAGTTGTGACACAGGCTGAGTATTTGCATACAAACTATGCATGCATGTGAGGGCGCATGTAAACAAGAGCGGCTGCAGCATGAGAGGCAGCAGAAGCTGGATGGTGAGGCGGCGCCGGGTTGATCGGTGCAAGATCGTGGTCTGAATTTGGACTTACTTGTACCAACGGATATGGACGCTGGACCTCCAGGGAACTCACTCAGGAAGGGACAAGCCGAAGCATCACTTTGGGTTGTGAGGGTGGTTGTTACGGCAGATGGCGGCTGGTGTGTTGGTGAGACCAGCTCCCCTGGACTCTACCAGACAGTGTCTGTGCTTCATGTTGGTAGAGGTCAGAAGTTAAGGATGACTCAGCTGCATCGGCCCTGTAACAGATTCTCTAACGTGGTTTCCAGATACGACCGTTCATCTCTCGGACGATGCCGTGTCCAGCTGTTATATTTACTCCTTTATACACAAAAAGCAATGCTATGAACATGTTGTTATTATTAGTGATTTTAGTAAACATAGCATGTGGTACCATTTTCCATTTGGTCCATTTTTAACACTAATTACTAAATTATCATCACTGATGCTGCATGCCGTCACAGATGAAGCTTCTGTTTTCACTGCAGGGGTTTGTTATATTGATTTTACAACAAACTACAAGTCCATTTGTGATAGTATCTACAGTGATGACTATAAATTAGCTGATGTATTAACTCCCATGACGGTGATAAATAAAAAACATTTCAAGCAACGATTTTCCTGCAGTTTCACTAATATTTGGTTTTGAGACTTTAAATGCAGTAAATAATCATTTGAGGCAAAGTCAGTGAATAAAAATAGCAAGCTGAACACATTGGCTGTTTCTCACTTCATTTTGACAGGTACTTTTAAGATACAAATGCCTGAAAGGTATTTTGAAGTCTATAAACAGTGATGTGTGAAAACGTTTAAATATGTAGTGCTTCAATGTTGTATCTTTTTTAGTCGAGGCTTCCTTTGCCCTCGTGTTAGTCACTCTCCTCTCTGTTTGCATTTTCAATGTGGGTGGTATTTATTTTCATTAATAAAGCATCTTGTGAAGTCTATGGACACATAAGGAGACACCTTACATGTTGCCATGGTGTTTCAACCTTACTAAGCTTATGTGGGTGTGATGACGTACGTAAGTTATGCCTCTCTGCTCTCATCCTCTTGCTCATTCTCATGGCTTTGTTTTTTTCTATCCTCCCTTACAGAACTGCCCCCACAGAGTGGCCAGGGAGCCCAGTATGATAATCCCCTCTGGGGACACCTGCCAGCCAACAGGAGTGCCACAAATGCTGCATCTTCTACCAACCTTAGTGGCTGGGATCAACTGATCATTGACCAGAAGGACACAGAGGCTTGGCCTTCTATTACCCTCAGCCAGAGCCAGGCCCCTCCAGGAGGATGCTCTTTGGACACTGATCCTGGTCACTTGACCAGCAGCAGCAGCAGCAGCAGCAGCAGTAGTACTAGCAGTACTTGTAGTACAGTGAGTATGGCCACGGGAGCCAATAGCCAGACAGGCCACTTCCCTGCCAATCACCTTAGCAGCAAAGCCAACAGTGGGCCCAGCCCTGCCAATCATACTGGAACCAGCATGCTCTCTAGCCAGGTTGCAACCAATCGCAGCTGGGGCACTGGGCCTGGACCCTCCCATTGCCCGCCTCAGTCCTCAGGGGGGAGTGAAGGGAAGGGTGACAGCCCAGTGGGAGGAGGAGGAGGAGGAGGCAGCAGGGGCTGGGGTTCTTCTTCATCATCCTCCACCACCAACTTTAACTTGAACCTAAACCCTAATGCCAACCCATCTGCCTGGCCCATGCTGGGGCATGATGGGGGAGGCACAGGGGGAGGCAGCTCAGGGGGAGCCAACACCATTTCACCTCCTCAACCTACACCTAACCTCTGTAATCCAACTGGCCCCCCACCAGCCAAGACCAGCACCTGTACCGGAGCCAACACTAACAGCAACTCCTCGGGGATTGGCAGCGCCTGGGGTACCATAATGGCTTCTGATGCACCAGAGCCACACCCCTCCCCGTCCACGAATGTGTCTTTCAGTTCAGAACCTCAGAACCTTAAAACTGATGGACCAAATCACACTAATAAGCAGGAACCCCCCAGTCCTATTCGCAACTTGCCTGGCTGGGGCAGTGCACCTGTAGGCTTGGGTTCCATGAGTCAGCCACCAACAGGGGCCTCACAGGTCAATGGAGAGGATGGTAACTCAGTATGGGGCAACAGTGGCAACTCAAAAGCAACTCCTTCTAAGGAGGCACCTGGCTGGGACTCTGGCTGGGGCCATGGAGGTGGTGGAGCAGGGAATTCTGGAGGCTGGGGGGAACAATCTGGTGGGGACTGGGGTAAGCAGCACACTGAAGAGGCCCAGGGAGGCTGGGATGCCCCCAGCTCCCCTCCCCAGGATTCCCAGGCTAGTCCTTGGAGCAGAGCTGTGAGCACAGCCGGTGCTAGTGAAGGGAGCAGCGACAGCATGGAAGGACACCCCCAGCGGAGAGACCGCTCATCCAGAGATAATCCAGCTCCTCTGCTGCCTGCCCAGGATCTGGACCCCAGGGTGCTGTGCAACACCGGCTGGGGACAGACCCCGGTACGCCAGCACACTTCCTGGGACATGGACAATACTAAACGCAAGAACGATGCAGGCACTGAATCATGGGGCTCCGGCCCAACTACTCCAAGTGATGCCCAGGGGCCCTCCAACACGGGCCCCACGCAGAGGACTGACTCTGGGAGCAAAAATGATGTGCCTGGTTCTCAGGGAGCTTCTGGTTGGGGTGGAAGCATAGCTGCTACCAACCAGTCCAGCTCTGGTTGGGGAGAGACGTCCAACAACATTAAGCCCCCAGGAGGCCCTGGTGGCTGGGGAAACCCTCCAGCAGGGGGCCCCAACACCAACATACCCAAGAATGGTGGTCAGTCCTGGGGAGAGGAGAAGTCAGCTGGGTGGGAAGATTCTCACATCAAGTCAACATCCCAGAGCTGGGGAGAGCAACCCAAAGCATCCCACAACTGGGGCAACAGTGGCGGGAGCAATAATGCCGGGGACTGGGGAGAACCAGAGGACAGCAAAAAGAGTCCCTCTAATCCTGGCTGGGAGGGAGAAGCAGGAGGCTGGAAGGAAAACCCACGAGGCTGGGGCATGTCTTCTTCAGGACCTGGGATATCTGGAGCTGGAGGAAATGGGGGCTGGGGGGAGTCGGTTCCCCAGCGGCCCAGTGGCCCTCCTCAGGGCTGGGGGGGCAAGCCTCAGGATGGCCCCAGTGGTAATAGTGGAGGAGGAGGAGGAGGAGGCATGGGCTCCTGGGGGGGCTCAGGCTCAGTCAAGCAGGGTGCAGGCTGGAGTGGCAGCAAGCAGGACTCCTCTGCTGAGCCCACAGGCTGGGAGGAGCCCTCCCCTCCTTCAATCCGCCGCAAGATGGAGATAGATGACGGGACCTCGGCTTGGGGCGATCCCGGCACCTACAACAAGTCAGTCAATCTGTGGGACAGGAACAATCCAGGAATGTCCCAGACTAAAGGCACCGCTGGAGGCAACAATCCCCCAGGTTCCAACAACAACCACGCCCACTCTCACAATCACCCTTATCATGGGCCGCCTGCACCTCTACAGAACCATAGCCAAAACAGCCAAAACCCAGGTCCCACCAGCGGGCCTATGGATCCTCCTGTGCAACATCAGTCTGCACCATCTCACAGCAGGGGTCCCCTGATAGCTCAAGGTAAGACGAGACTCTGCTACATAGACTAGTTAGCCATTTCTTTATAATATACACACATTATACAATTGTCCACATTCAGATTTCAAAGGTGATTTGATTTCAGTTGACCAGATGTAACTCAGGATGAATAGCAGCGCCTCTTTCTTGTAGACTGTTTAAAGCAAAGGTGTAGAACGTGAAAGCTGGTTAGCTAGTTAGCGCTGCTGAGCTCCAAGCTGTTGATCCACTTGAAGGTAAAATCTTGACCCAGTTTGCACTCTTTGGATTTACATCTAATCAGCAGCCTAAACCAGTGCCAGCCTGGTCCTCCATGAGGCTCCTCACATTTCACAACACAGGGTTCTGCTCTGCGGGTAACCGTGGCAACCCCACATGGGGGCCCAAAGGAAGCACAAGAATGCTGTTTACAAAGTGCCTCGTGAAAATACTGATTCACCACAAACTGTTTGAGACACATCGGAAGTGTGTGATTATATGGGAGCCACCATCTGTCAGCAGCTGAGGGAGGAGGTGGAGCAGCCCCTGGGCTCTGAGAGGATGCCGCTGCCCCCTGCTGGCCCTCTCTTGACCCTGCATGGTGATTCCATGTTGGAGAGGATTAAACCTGGTTGTTGAGCTTATAGCAGGTTAATACAAAATAAGAAGTCCCTTCTAAGCTGGGGGAAGCAGCAGGACAGTTTGCCCCTCTGTGCCTTCTTAGATCAGGGTCGCTCTTGGCCCCATCACACCAGACGGCTGAATGTTAACTATAATTTTGGAGCAGCCTTTAGGACTTGACCTTTCCCTGGAGGGAGAGCTAAGCTGAGCCTGGCGCTGCTGCAGACCTAAAGACAGCACTGTGGCTGCCATGCCAAAAGGGACGAGGAGGTGCCAGATCTTAAATGGGCATCTCCTCCCTCCATCAGCCGTCCTGCTGAGCCAAGTCCAGGTTCCTGCCTCCCTGCATGGCTGGCAGAACGGTAAACGGGGCAATGTGTTCACCAGAGGCTCGGTTTGTGGCCAAGCTCATATCAACAAATAGGAAATTAATATAAAATGACAAAAAGAAAACAAAAACTTCCATCTTAATTTTTGAACATGTGGAAAATGCTTCAGACACAAACATGCTTGTTAGATTTTGTGCTGCTCTCTGTGTGTGCAGATATCAGACACATTTAAGTCTGTTTATAAGGAATCAGCAGTGAAAGCCAAGTAAGACAGTGATGAGAACAAGGCCAGCAGGAGACAGAGCTGTGATGAGGGCTCTATATTAAGTGAGATGAGACACAGAGTTATGCTAGCGTAAGGCAGCATTAAACACAGCCACAAGATCAAACTGTACATTTCTGAAATGTGGTTATCTTTTTAACTTTTCATAGGTCTCCTGATGTTTCTTGTAAATTTAACAATTTAAAAAATACCCCAGTGTGTTTCTCAGTATGACTGTAATTATGTAGATGTGCTAGATGCCATCTTGTACCCTCTTGTGAAAATGTCTAAGTACAGAATCAAATGAGACCAAATAGTGGATTGTCGCTGTGTGAAGCATGTTTTTAGACTCTGGTGGCTGTGCAGGCACATGTTTTTGACAGGTTGCTGTCCTTGTGTCTATCCAGGTTGGGGAGAGCTTCCCAGCTCCCACACCAAATCAGAGAGTTCCTGGGGGGAACCTGCACCGTCTCCGGTCAGTGTGGATAATGGCACGTCTGCCTGGGGCAAACCTACCGGGAGCTGTGGGGGATGGGGAGAAGGCAACCCAGACAACTATGGCAGGGGCAACCCAGCAATGACAGCTGCACCTTGCAAACCTGGTGAATAGTCTTATGTACCTGATGTGCACAGTGTGTTTACCTGTCAGGAACCGTGATGCTGCATTCATGCTCCGCTGCTGCAAAAGTTCAGTAATTCTCTGCTGATGATTCAAGTCAAGGATGTCAGTGTGTCATCAGGGAATCAAGAGCATGGCAGGTTTCCTCATAACACCACACTGACCCCTAGTGGCTGCCCCGTTTACAGTAGTCCACACACAGACGAGCTGTCATGTGCACCTGTACCCAATTACTTTTATGTTCAGTCATCAAAGTTTTGTCCTAATCTTAACCTTTTAAACCCTGCAAGCTCACAAGCAGGAGGACAGTGTGGTGGGGGGCCTGCACCCGTACATACCACATTCATGGAGAGCCATTCAAGTCTGGCAGCACAAACTGTTGAAGAAAAATGCTGTATATCTGAAAATAATTATCTAAAAATTATTTGCTGAATGCATTTGATTAGATTACATTAGATTAGATTGAACTTGATTGTCATTGCAAAGAGTACGAGACAAGATGCAGATGAGCATCTAACCAGAAGTGACTGTGTGGTGTCTACAGTGTGTTGGAGTATAAACAGGGTGACCACTATGAACATATAGATTTAGATAGGATATAAAGTAGATGTGGTATGAGTAGTATAGATAAGATGAAAACGGTGTTATTGCTGTGAGATATATGCAGTTCATATACAGGATGGACCGTATTATAAACAGTATGAACACTGCTGTACTATGTGGGATATTATCGTATACTCTGTGTTTCGTCTTTGTTTTTTGAGAACACATCAGTAATTTGTGCTAACTTGTGTGTTTTCCAGCGCCCAAACCTATGCAAGATGGATGGGGAGGCGGCGGTGAAGAGCTCAGCCTGTCTGGGGGTCAGTGGGACGCCGAGGAGGGAGACATGTGGAACAGCACTGCCTCTCAGGAGAGCAACTCTTCCTGCAACTCTTGGGGCAATGCATCCAAGAAGGGCCCGCAAAAGGTGTGAACCACAGCTAGCTAACACTGAACAATCCCTTGTCTGTTTGTTTGACATTATTATTTGACATCAGAGTCAGCATGTTCATCATGTCCTGCAGGGGAAGGTCCCAGGGAAGCAGGAGGACACCTGGATCATGAACCGTCTTGTCAAACAGCTGACTGACATGGGCTTCCCTGTGAGTTGACTTCACATTAACTGCTCTACTGCTAGGACATGTGAATAATGCTTGGTTTGTAAACACTTTTACTGCGACTTTCATTTGAAGTAGCGTCTGGTTTTTGGGCCAAATGAGGCATTTGCAGCAGAGCCTCCTTCACTCGTGCTGCTAAACACGCCCTCGTCACGATGACAATGCTCCCGATTCTGGATTATGGCGACATCATTTACAAAATGGCCCAGAGCACCGTGCTCAAACACTGGACACTCTTTGTCACTCAGCCATCCGCTTTGCCACTAATGCTCCTTCCACACTCACCTCGTAATATACCAGCACAACTTTGCACTTCGTTTCTTTGACCAGCACCATGTAAACATTACTTTGCCTGTTCTTTTGCACATTAGTTTTCTTGTTGTTCTAAAGTGTCATGTGTGTGAGCTACTGGATACCTTGAATTACCCCAAAGGGATAAATGAGTGTCTACTGGGCTGTTTTTGCACTACTGATGCTTCCTGGGTTATTTACAGAGGGATCCAGCAGAGGAGGCATTAAAGAGCAACAACATGAACCTGGATCAGGCCATGAGTGCCCTGCTGGAGAAGAAGACGGAGCTGGACAAGCGTGGGATGGGGATGTCCGGCCACGACTACAACAACGGGCTCATCAACAAGCCCATGAGCTGCCCTCGGCCTCCACTTCTTTCCAAAGACCCTTCGGCAGATCCTCGCTTGCCCTTCATGGATAAGGTGAGTCATTCAATAGCTCATCTACATATAGAAGTACTGAATGGACACAGAAGTGCCTCATCCAGCTGGCGTGTTAGTTGTTTTCCTCCAGATTCAAGGTAAGTCTCCCCAAACCATCTCTTGGAAATCAGCACCAACCAACGATTTCTGAGCTTTTAGCACAAAGGACAGAGTCTGATCTTCCTGTATTTGTGATCATTTGTGGCGCCTGAATGTGTGTCCGGCAGATGCAGAGTGGAATGTTTGGCGGTGGTGGAGCAGCACAAGCCCGGGCCATGCAGCAGCCGCAGCCGCCTCCTCAGCCGCCAGTGCCGCCTCTCAGCTCCTCTCAGCCTAGTCTACGTGCTCAAGTGCCTCAGTTTCTCTCCCCTCAGGTGCATTCACTGAAACAACAAGCCTAATATATGAACAGATGAGCAGGCAGCGCGTTTAAATGTATGTAGTGTTAAATGATTCTGTCTTTGCAAACATCTCCACTAGGAGATCAGCTATATCTGAAATTTATATGCCAGCCGCTAACACATGCCTGTTTATTATGGAAGTGAGACGAGAAACTATCAAACATTCAGAGAGTTTTAAAGCATTGTGTATTAATTGTTTCCCCACAGGTTCAAGCACAGCTCTTACAGTTTGCAGCAAAAAACATTGGTCTGAATCCTGCACTTTTAACCTCACCAATAAACCCTCAACATATGACCCTTCTGAACCAACTGTACCAGCTGCAACTGGTGAGTCTCATCTCATCCTGCTCTGCTCACACTTTTATTACACATTCCCCAGATCTGTGTACACATGGTTCATCTCTGGGACTTCCAGCCCTCAGCGAGCTCTGATTCAACTGATGTTTAACTTTCTGCTTTCATGTTTTAAATTACTCTGAATATTATAGCGTCACCGCTGGGTATATAGACATGTTGTTTGACATTTAAGTCATGCTCATATCTGATTCTCAGGCGTACCAGCGTTTACAAATTCAGCAGCAGATGTTGCAGGCGCAGCGCAATGTTTCTGGCCCCATTCGACAACAAGAGCAGCAAGTAGGCTCCCTTCTTACACTTCATTTTCTCTTAGTCCTTCATCTGATCACTGAAAACCCCAGATTTACTCTAATTGTCTTCTTTCTATGTATAACAATAGCATCATCTAAATAAAGTAGATGGTAGAAGAACTTCCATTTGCCTCATGCACATGATAGATCCTAACATGTCTCTGTTCTGATGTTATCTCAGGTCGCACGTACAATCAATAACATGCAGCAGCAGATCCAACAGCACCAGCGTCAGCTGGCCCAGGCCCTGCTGATGAAGCAGCAGCAGCAGCAGCCTCCCCCTTCCCACTCAGGCCTGCATCCTGGAGGGGCCAAATCCAGCCTGGATTCATTTCCAGGCCACCCCCAGGCTCCAGGCCTCCCTGACCTGCAGACCAAAGAGCCGCAGTCATCTCCCAACACGTACAGCCCCTACGCTCTCTGTGAGTAGCAGCTCTTTGAAAGCCAACCAGGTGTCAGTACAGGAACGTTGGCAGGCCGGTAGTAACTTCTGTCTGTTCCTCAGCTGGACTCAATCCAAACATGAATGTAAACTGCATGGAGGTGGGAAGTCTGTCTATGAAGGAACCCCCTCAACCCCAGTCACGCCTGTCACAGTGGACACACCCCAACTCCATGGAAAGCCTCTCTGGAAACTCGTCTCCTCTGGAGCCCAACCTGGGCAAGCATGGTGAGACAGGAGCAGGATTCTGGCTGAGTAAAGATGATGTTTACATCTGCTTCAGAGTGGTGTATTTATAATGACAGAGATCTGAGCTCAACCTGCAAATGCTGGTGTGCACGTTACGTATAGCGACCGTACATCTGCTAGTTTCGTGTCATGTGCCTTCTCCAGGAGCCACCCTGGGCCCTCCTGGTAAACCCCCTCAGCTGGACGACTCGTACAGCCCCTACAACCTGATGTCCAGCTCAGAGTCTCCTACCAGCCCCCTGGTGCCCCCGGACAGCTGGGGTCAGGGCAAGAGCAGCAGTGACAAGATGGCCAATGGGACCAATATCAACTGGCCACCAGGTTGGCTCCCTCACAGTCATTATTACGTTTCATCTAGTCAGCCATGTTGGCAGCTGCTGGAGCTGTGAGTACGTTTATTCCTGCTCTGTGTGAAACCTCCCATCACGTTAGGGATAGTCTTACTGATCTACTCAACAGCAGCTAAGTCATGTTCAGAGTCAAAGGATCCCTGTAACAAGGCCTGTCACCACTTTGTTGTTAGACAGTTCAATCACAGATTCTACATGTCTTCTGTGGTTTGTCAGTTTTATTTCTGTTTCCGTTTCAGAGTTTTGCCCCGGTGTCCCCTGGAAGGGCCTCCAGAACATCGACCCTGAGACAGACCCCAACGTGACCCCCGGCAGCGTCCCCAGTGGACCCACCATCAACACCAACATCCAAGATGTCAACCGCTACCTGCTGCGGGACAGAAGTGGAGGTGAGAACGGGTCAGCCATGAGAGCTGCACTGTGGGGAATCGGCTCAGAGGGCCTTTTGTTCAGACGCTGCGTTGGTGTCTTGGTCTCCAGTCAGATTCATTTTGGAAATAGTCCCCTGGTTTGGAGCAGACATTTTATTGAGCTGGCAGCGTCCCCACATATTGCAAATATCCTGAACAGTTTGACAGTCAGTGCAGCAGCTGCCACCTGCTTCTTACTGTATGTTCTTCATTTCCTACTTTAATTACTTCATTGCCATTTAGCGGTTCTTATTCTTCTCTTCCTGATGAACTTACTGTCATCATTTGTAGTGTTTTTTCTTTATTCCATTTTCTCTCTCTGCTGCTTTCTTTCTTATTTGTTTGTGTGTCTATTTGTTTGTGTTGCTGGCATCGGCTTAGGCTCCTCTCCCACTTCATCTCAGAACGAGGCTCTGCCTCCCTCCACTGATTGGCCAGTCAGTGCCTACACTAGCTCGTTCAGTCTTTCGTCCTCGGAGATGGACAATGCAGGTACCTGGTTCATCCATAGCCTTCTCCTCCCACATTACAGAGGCTGAATCACTGCAGACAGCATCCTCCTTCCCTCCTGTTGCTCTAACACCCAGAGCCTCCACCACTCACTGACTGAGAACCACACGTCTCTGTTTCATCCAAGTGGCTGCTCCTGACTGAGTGTGACCTTCATCTGAGCTTGTATCCCATGCAGTGCATATGTCCCCTGTGCTGTCCTCTCTCTCCCTGTGTGTGCTTTGGAAAGTGTGAGACGGAGGAGAGTGTAGCTCGTCGTGTTCCCTTTGATTAACAGAGACTCTAACTCACTAGTGTGTTTAGGTTGCCTTAGTTGTCCGACATGTGCTCACACTGTGGGGAGGGATCTGTGCCCCACAGACAAACATGCATGAAAGCCAGCCAGTTGAAAGTCCTGTGGTTTAAGTTTCATATGTAAAGTGTTTTTAGGTGTGAGATGTGTGTGTGTACTGTTACATGAGGCCCCATTCTGCAGAGGCTCTTTGGGAGCTATGTGTTCAAATGCTGGATTAGTTGGAGATTAGTGGAGACGTGGAGACTGTTGTCAGGCTTCAGCTGTTATTACAGTCTTGGACAGTTTTAAAGAGCTCTGTAGTCATGTGGCTGCTCAGGACTCCCCCCAGTGGGAGCTGCTGTCTCTCTGGTCCTGTACACCAACCTTCCTGTTTCTCCTCCATCCAGGTAAACTGTCAGAGATGAAGTCTACGTGGTCTCCGGGCCCCATTTCTCACAGCCAGGCCTCTCTGTCCCACGAGCTGTGGAAGGTCCCTCAGGGCCCCCGGAGCAGCACCACGGCTCCATCCCGCCCCCCACCAGGCCTCACCAACACCAAGCCTTCCTCCACCTGGGGGGGCAACTCTCTGGGCCTGGCCCAAGGCTGGAGCAGCTCGTACACCACAGGTAGCGCTCAGCATCCCTCAGGTGTTTACACACATTATTAGTCATATGGTGCAGCGTGAGTGGAACAAACTGAGCTTCATCATCAGCCAGAGCGATTTGTTCTGATCCTTCTTTTTAAACACGTTTTGTCTTGTTGAAGAAGATCCCAACAGAAGTAGTCTGGTCAGCCGAGGAGAAGCCAACAGCTGTCTTCACTTTGGTCAAATCCCTCCTAGACTTATGTTGAACGTAAAGTGTCTTTACTGCTCACAACACCTGTGTGATTGGTCAACATTGTTTTCTTTTAGCAGTAAGTAAATAGATTTAACATTTTCACAACTTTATTAAACATTTTTGCAGAAGGTTTGGCAGCAGAGGCATGTAGTTCATCACTGGTGAAAATACTGAAAGAACTTGAGACGTCGTGCGGAGCTAAGACACAACGCTCTAGATAGTCCTCATCCTGCCCTGAACTGTCAGCTGTCTGAAGGTTATATCCTGTAAGTGTGTGATGTGGAGCTCAACCGTAGGCAGGATCAGCAACCTGAGCAGCTCTTGTGTGGTCCAACTGACATCAGGCGCTTTTCCTGTTTAACTGACACCACCCATGCAGCTGAAGTAAACGGTTTTGGTTTCAGACGAGCTTGGTAAGTACGACTAACAGCCTGCTGCCTTCTCTGTGCACACAGCAGGAACCACGTGGAGTACAGACAGCTCCACCAGGACCAGCAGCTGGCTGGTTCTGAGGAACCTCACTCCACAGGTACCAGCTTCTGTCTGTGCCTCTGTCTCACCTTGAATCATTGTAGAACCGTAGCTGTGTCTGTGCCGCGTGGCTGCAGTAACCCGGGTTTGTTTTCCAGATCGACGGTTCGACCCTGCGTACGCTGTGCATGCAGCACGGCCCTCTCATCACATTCCACCTCAACCTGACGCAGGGCAACGCTGTGGTGCGCTACAGCTCCAAGGACGAAGCTGCCAAGGCTCAGAAGTCCCTGCACATGTACGCCTACACTCACGTTACTTCCAGCATTTGGCTCAGTCCATTTTTAAGATTTACCTTCAACCTGTGTTCTTTGCTCCATCTCTGCCCAGGTGTGTGCTCGGGAACACCACCATCCTGGCCGAGTTCGCCGGGGAAGAGGAAGTGAACCGCTTCTTTGCACAGGGCCAGTCGCTGGGCGGAACCACCAGCTGGCAGGCCAGCCCAGGCACCAATCAGACCAGGATGGGGGGGGCTGGGTCCGGAGCCTCGCATCCCATCGGCCACTCGCCCCACTGGAACAACAACAACGGCGCCAGCAGCAGCAGTAGCAGCGGCCTGGGAGCAGGCGGGACGAAAACAGGCGGAGAGTTGCTGTGGGGAGGCGTCCAGCAGTATTCGAGCCTGTGGGGACCCCCGAGCGGAGAGGAGGGACGGGTGATGGGGAGCCCCACCCCAATCAATACACTGCTGCCTGGGGACCTGCTGAGCGGAGAGTCCATGTAGGAGAGAGGAGCCCCGGCTAAACGTACACCAACAGGAGCAAGAACCTTGCAAATCAATGTGGAGATAATCAGCATGGGCGTGACGGCGAGAGGAGGGACGGAGGAGGACGGCGACGTCTCCACCTCCTCCACTCCTTCGGTTTAACCACATTTCAGTTGCAGTTCCTTTGAGAATCTCAGTGAGAGATTTCGGTCACAGTGTTCAGTTTTTACTTGTGGAGACACAGGAGGAAGTCTTTCACTCAGCAGAGAAACAGGACTTTGTACAGCGATGAACTTTGGAGAACTGGCCGTGTGAAACGTACTTTAGTCAAACTGACAGTGACGAGCTGCCATCTTTAACTTGCATAATCCCTCACTGCCTTTGGAGGCAATCATACTGCACCTCAGAGATCCATGTAAAAGGCATCATTCCCAAAGTAAACCCTTCAATCAGAGTGGTTGTCGAACATTCAGCTGGTCCAGACTCCACATTTGTTTCTCTCAGCACTAATATTAGCCTTAAACTATTTCCTGCCCTGCTATCCTCACTCACTCTGTACTTGGTGAAGAAGCATACGGACACTTGCACACCCTTATTTCTGAGCCAGTGAAACCTGAGTGGAGAGTACATGCTGCTGCGGCTTGACACAAGCAACCACAGCTCACAACTTCAGTGCATTTTTTGCAGGCAGATTGAGTTCCCCACAACGCTCAAAGGGAATGATGCAACTCTGTTCGCCTTGTTCAAGCCATTTATTTTTGTAGTGTTTTTTTTTTTTTATTTTATTTTTCTTGAACCATTGCAAACAAAGCTAAGAGATGATATTATTCAGATGTGTCTGTCGGTCTGTGTGGCGGGGGGTCGGGGGTGCACCGTGAACCAACCACTGCTTCTGCTACCGACCGCAGCCACAAACACTCAACGCACCTCAACCCGCCTGCGGGGCGACTCGCAGTCCGGTCTCAGTCTCAGACCCTCTCACTGATGTTGTGGAAAACCTCAAGTCGTGCCCCCCACCTCCCCTCCTGTCGCCTCCCTCCCTCCCCCGCGGTGCCCGCTCCACCTGCAAACACCATTAAAGTGACGTGCAATATAAGCCACAGACTCTACCGTCCATCGCCCACCGCGGCTCTCGCACAGAGACGAGACTCTGAGGAATGAGTGAACTGCAGAAGCTCTATCTCCCCCCCACCACCACCACCACCACCACAAGAAACTGCCACTACTTTCTACCCTTCATCTCCTCCTCAGAGAGTGTGTGAGCTCAGGAGCGTAGCGGAGCTGGTCCTCAACCATCTTCTGTCCGAGACCCAAGGACACAAAGCACTTGTTCAGCCAGCCGACTGTCCGCATCACGCCAGCGACTGGTTCTGGTTCTGGGGAGGGCAGGTGTGTGTGTGTGTGTGTGTGTGTGTCCACAGAGTGTATGTGTTTATGTGTGACTGGGGAGAAGCCATCAAACCAAAACGAGAGGAGCCCATTTTCGTTTTTTTTTTACCCGAAGACCCGATGACTTTTTTCTCCCTCCTCCTGCCCACGTGTGCATCGGTAGTAAAGTCTGATCGAAGGCTTGTGAACTCGTGGTCTCTCATAGCACTTAGCCAGAGCCTCGCTGCTCTTTACCCTCAATGCCAACAAATAGAAGAAAGGAGAAGCAACACTGGCAAATAAAAACTGAAAAAGCAAAGACAAAAAAGCAATCTGCTCAGTGGCTTCTCTGCATACTTATTTTTTAACTTAACATGGATGTGAACTTTTTTTTGTTTGTTTTTCTTTTTTTTTTTTTTTTGGAATCCTTCTTCCCTCGAGTCAGTGGGACCAGAAAGGATGTCAAACACGGTAGCAAAGTGAAGGGAAAATACAAAGAAGACCTGAGTGATGGTGGGTGTGGCTCATCCTCACCCTCCTATATCAAAGTAAATATCACTGTTACATTGCAGCGTTGAGTCTTTAGCCTTGGTGTCTGGAAGTGCTCGACGTGTTCGTGCTCTACTGGGTCCGGCAGGGAGGACCGCCGTCTCTTCTGTCCCGTCTGTGCTTGTTTTCTACCGGAGGCCCTGCCAACCTGTGTGATAGTGTGGCCACTGAGTGCCTGCCTGCTGCAGAGCGGTGCTGCAGCAGCCTCGTCCCTCCCTTCCCTCCCCATCGCTCGCTGCCTCCCTGCAGATCCCCACAGACCGGCTTCCCTCTCGTTCCTCCCTTCGGGCCTCCAGGCCAAGAGCAGCTCTTTCAGAACCTGTATTAAGTCTACTACTACTGCTAGCCAGAGTCTGTCCTCAGCAGCCTCCACTTCCACTCTCTCTGTCTCTCCTGCAAGGATCACTTTAGCCAGAGATGGAGTCGTTTGATGTGTTTTGTTTTCTCCTGGATTTTACTGATGGAATTGCCAGTGTGCATTTTTTATTTTGTTGTTGTAAGAAGTTTGCTGATGTTGTTGCTGTTATCATTGATGATATAGTTAATGATTGTCTCCGATGATGATGATGATTTCATGGCTTTTTAAATACTGGTCTTTATGCAGTGTTCAGCTCCTCTCCTGCCCCCTCCCCCTCCCCCCCACCGCCTCTGAGGCAAAGCCAGTGTGTAGTTAGGAGGTACGCCTCAGCTGTGCAGCAAAGCCCTGCTGCCATGTTGGAGCAGGTGTGGTCCAGGTGTGGTCCAGGTGTGGTCCAAGTGTGGTCCAGGTGTGGTCCAGGGTAGTGAGCCAGTGCCCCGGCCTTCCTGGGGTTACTCTGTGTCACAACGCCTGGCGGTGTCGACGGCCTCGCTCACACTGGTGCTTTACGTTTAACTCTGGGAGCACTCGGTTAAACTTAGAACCACCTCAACTGACAACAGCCTTCCATTTCTATGCAAAGACAGGAGGTGTTCGTTCACAGCCATCCCCTACATCTGCCAACCTTCACTTCTCTCTCAACCTTTACTACCAGGCAGCTTCTCTCAAAACCTCACCTGGATACCATGTAGGGGACCTGAAGGAGCCTCTCCTTTAGCGGTTGGACGGAGCTGTTGGACGACACTATCTGTTGGCAAACACAGTCACTTCTTCAGTCTTGTGCCAACTGATTTACAAATCTCTACTTCCACCTCGCCACACCCTACTTTATCTTTAGCATGATGAGTTTGTTTCCTGCTGCCGGGGCATACCACGAGCTCCGGCTGCCGGAGGCTGTAGGAGCAGAAGGGAGGACGGATGAACGGTGCTGGTGTTCACCGACAGAGGACTGGAGGTCCAGAGGAGGTCCAGGCTGCAGTGGGGGTCCCTGTGTGTGTTTGTGCACTGTTTATGGCTCACATCGGGTACATCTCTTTAAAAACCAAAAACATTATCTTTTTCTTTATCATCAAGGTTTTCGCAAAAACTAGAAACTACGAAAACCCGTCTGTTTCCGCTGTGCACTCTGTGTTGTGTCTCTGCAAGCTGCCGCCTTCTCCCCTCCAGGCTCGCTGTCTGGGCCTCGTGTGGGGAAGCTGTATCCTGGAGGTTCTTTGGGACCGCCAACCTGAAGGTCGTGCCAGCCACTATATATATAACTAACAGGTCCGGCTCTGGGTCCCAGCAGCGACCCAACGTATCGGCAGAAACGGGGACACGCCTCAAGTTCGGTACCAAGTCTTAAAGTGTAGGGGATTGGCCCTCTTCCAGAGTCGCTCCAGACTCGTTCAACACAACAATCACTATTGCCTGTGCTGTCTGTCTGATTGTTCCTGAACCTGCGTTCACTCCACACTGGACTTGAATCAAGGAGCTGGTGGGGAAGTGGGGAGTTGACCCGAGTGGGAGGACGGGTGACCGGGACAGCGGTCGAGTCTCAGACGTGTCCTAGCACCAGCACTGAGAGCCCCGCCTGCACTCTTATCTACCTGTCTGGTGTTGGAAATCAGATGCTCTCCCTTTTATTTTTCCTTTTTGTTGACGTCACGTGGACTCAAAGCAACTGGAGCTGAATTAAAATATGCTTCTCAATCATGGATCAGACAAGGGTCTGAGGCAGGGACCCCAAAAGAGTTGAATTAGCAAATCTCTCTTTGAAAACAAAGGCCTGGGTTGAATATGCACATGCTAGGTCCTATACACTGTGCAGCCAGCGTACGCAGCGGCTGTATGTGTGTGTACGTCTAGATTTCTCTGTTTTCCACTTAGCCTAGCCCTGCCCTGCCCTGGCTCAGCCCTCCCTGTGGATCCAACATTATATTTCCCAGAAGACAAGATCATAAACATATCAGAGTAATACAAAATAATGAAAACAAATACTTGAATCAAAAGAAGCGCCAATAATGTAATGTGAACACTTTTTGTAGTGGTTTTTTGTCTCATTCATACACTTCAGAGATTTTTGATAGCATCGGTTCAGAGTGAATAAAATTTGACATACGAGTGTTGTTGAAAACAAAGATCGATATAAAGGCTAATTTTACATCTGTTGTATTGAGTGTTTGCACAAGGCTGCTTGTACTGTATGAATGAATGTGAGCTGAGACGTGTGAGAGCTCGTGATTACAGCGGACGAGTCATCCGCCTCGTGTTTTCTTTTCAATTCAGTATACTTTTGTTGTTGATTTTTTTTCTTTTTTTTTTTTGCTTGTCAAAACTATATTCTGATGTTAATTGTTACTAGCCTCTAGCGTTGCACTGAGTGTCGGCCTCCCCCTCATCCAGCTATATGAACAACCTGATACAAGTACTGAGGGGAGACGGGGACAGTTCACGTGTAAATGTTTACTCAAGGACTAAATACGTGTGTTTTTAAAATGTAATGTTTATCTACCTTAGTGGCTTTCATTGTGGAATAATCCAAGAAAGTATGGATCATAATTGAGTATTGCACCATTTTTCAGACTATAAACCTAAAAAAAAGAAGAAAAAAATGGAAAAAAAAAAATCACATATGTATAAAAAATGCAGCGCAAAAAAAAAAAAAAAAAAAAGTATTTTGCAGACCTGTGGCCATAGATTGGAGTAGAAGGACTTCAGCTCTCCCAAATCTGAGCAACGGAGAGTGAAGGACAGACATCAGACCGAGCCTTGGCTTCTAGGGCTCACTTCAGAGGTGCCTACCTTTTCTTTTCTTGGTTTGTTAGCTTTCGTTCTGTTTTCATGTATGTTCAGTTCACTCATCTGTCTCAATGCAAGGCCACTGACGGTTTACAAACACGTAGGGTTTTTTTCTAGAGTTCAACAAATTTCAGCAAAACAAAGGAATTAAACCATGGGAATGTTGGGAAAAGAAAAAGAAAAAAAAAAAAAGGACAAATGCTTCCATTTTTGAAAAAACAACAAAGTGCAACACAACACTTGACAGAATGAAGATTCTTGTGCTACTTTCAGAACTCTGGGATTGAACAGTGTTGTCTTGTTCTGTTTAACCTTCTTTGTTAATGTTGATTTCATGGACTATCTGAAGCCTGTATGTTTTATGTTGATTATATATATTTTTCCTTTATATAAAATCAAAAAAACAAAAAAGAAAAAGAAAAAAAAAAGACATAATTGCTCACTATCTTGCACACACACGAAAAAGTGGATCTAGTCTCAGGAAGGCCAGGGTTCCAGAGTACCAACTCCACGCCATTTTAATGTACATTTTTATGATGAGTTTAAAAAAGACAAAAAAAAACCAACAAAAAAAAAAAAACACACAAAAAAGGATGACTTAAAAGAAACGATTCTAAGCACTGAAAGTTATGGATTTCAGAAGAAGAGAAAAAATCTTTTGTTTCTAAATCCATAGCAGTTACGTCATAACCAAATAATGGACTTTAAATGAAAATGGAGTGCTTTATATATAAATCTATATATTAAAATTGCTTTACATTTAAAAACAAAAATGGTCAATGAGTTTGTTTAAAAAAGAAAAGAGAAAAAAAAAAAGGCGGTGAATAACATGCAGATGCTGTATGTTGGACTCTCTGTTGTGTTTCTTAATGAGGTCGGTCCTGACGGATCAGGAACATCGTGCATTACTCTGTCTGTCTCTGTCTCTCTACCTCTATCTATCTATCTATCTATCTATCTATCTATCTATCTATCTATCTATCTATCTATCTATCTATCTATCTATCTATCTATCTATCTATCTATNTATCTATCTATCTATCTATCTATCTATCTATCTATCTATCTATCTATCTATCTATCTATCTATCTATCTATCTATCTATCTATCTATCTATCCCTCTCTTCTCTCATTCTCTCCCACAGCGGGTATTACTATTATTACTATTATCGATAGATGAATCAGACTTTTGTGGAGCATTTTTCACCTTTTGGAGGATGTTTGTAAAACATGAGCTGGTTGTAAAGGATCATGAAACTATGCACAAGTGTCGGGGGGGGGTGTGGGGGGGAGATGGGGATTTTCCAGCCACTGATGGAGGCTGATCTGTTGCAGGGTTTTGGGATCCAATGTGTTGTATTTCTGTTGTACTTCAGTGGAGGTGGAGGGAGACGGGGACTCACCTGGAGCCCTCCACCTCCAGCTTCCTTCCCCTGATCCAGATCGACCTAGCGCTACATCGCCATGCTGTGTATTCCTAAAACCAATGAGCGTCTCACTCTTAGCACTGTGGGATTCTAGCCTGTCGCCCTCAAGGGTTCTATCTCATTTTGTTTGTTCTCCTCAGTTCGGTTATGGAGGGGAGGGTGGGGTCTGGGTTTAGGGCTGCTTTTTGTTTGCCTTTTTTTTTTTTTTTTGAAATATTAAGTAAAAATGTCTGTACTGAGAGTTAATGAGAAGTCAGTGGCTTGTAATGTTTTATTTTTTCTCTGTATATCTCTTTCTCCTCATAGAATGTGATTGTTAAATGACATGCACCGAAACAAATGTTTTCATGAACTATGGAGCTTCTTTCAAATATTAATAAAATAGCATTTTTTTCTTGGCTGTTGAAGCTGTCGCCCTTTGCTTGTTTGTTGCTGGTGTGATTGTCTGTGGACGCGACGCCGCCGCCGCGCTCAGGCTCTGAGGGCGAGCTGCCTGGGGCAGGCGTAGTAGTTGTCCTGCGGCGGTCGGATGTTGGGGTTTGCGTAGACGGGGAAGCTGACTTCCTCCAGGTGCGAGGAGGCTTCCTGGTTATTTTGAGGGCTTCCGGGGCTCTGCTGCTTCCTGCTCATTTCCTCGTAGATTGGAAAATGAGGCTGCGGTCGGGGATGAGGCCTCGTCGTCGCCTACAAACACAGTCTGTGTTCACTTATTTTTAACGCTGAGGTTGCGTTAGGAGTTTTAAAACAGTGGATTCTTACGTTTCTGACAAGTGTTCTCAAACAGTGACACAAACTGTAAACATCGATCAGTCGCTCTCAGATGATTGGTTCATCTTGGTGCCTTTAAAACGTCAGGACATCAGTTCATGTTCACGAAACAGTGACGAAACCAAGTCTTTACAAGATTTTGGCATTATTGCTTTAAAAAAAGACAAACACTAAATATTGCATAAGAGTCGGTTTAATCCTCTGCACGCTGTTTAATGATCAGTCTTAAATAATGCCAGAGTGACACTGAGACCAGGAGCAGACTCTTGTGTGAGCTCTTTTGTTTGAAGCTGATGAGCATCGACACAGTCGGCAGAATAACACACAGCACGAATAACAGAAACTTTGCTTTAACTGCTGGTTTGCTGAAGCATGTCGGGACGTTTTACATCTCCAGACAGTTCCAAGGTTTGTCAGTTATTAAACAGATGCTCTGCTCTGTCTTTGCCATCACGGATCCTTTTGACCAGTTTAATTTGCCTTTTGGATATTTCGTGTTGCATTTAATGAACTTTTCCTTTGTCACTTTGCATGTCACAGATTTGGTGAGTCATGCGGTCCCACCAATAGTTATCTGACAAACACGTTAATTACTGTTCTACTTCATATGAGTCACTGTGCAGCCGTCTTTGTGGTTTTGACTTTGAGTCAGTGCTCAGAAATTAGCCAAAAGAATGCAAACTTATGTAACGTGACAGAAGAACTGAGACATTAGCCGCGAGCAGCGTTACTTCACAGCACGACAAAACCTCAGAAACTACCACTTGACTTGTAGGAACTAAGCAGAAGGCTACTGGACTTCTCTTTTAGGTTCTAGAAGACGTTCTAAACGGATCAGAGGCAAAACATCTGAAAGAACCTACAACAGAAGCCCGCCTGCTTTCGTCTGGCTGAGAATCCACACAGACAAACCATCTGAGTTACATGTGCTCCTGTGCTTTCTGAAATATTACCTGAACACTCACACATGTGCGTATGGCCAGCCAGCTGAGCGTCAGCACAAGTCCTGCTGCTGTGACGTTGATCCAGAGCAGAGCAGGGTAGCTCTGAGAGCAGCGGCACGACGTCGCTGCAACACAAACACAACGTTAGCGTCTCAACACTCGGATGTGCCCTGCAGCAAAGTGAGGAGTTTACCTTCAACCAACAGGAAGATCTTTTGTGAGCCGAGGACGATGTGATCGGAGCCGTTCACGTCCCGGTAGCTCAGCTCCCACATGTACAGGCCCGTGTCGCTCTGCTGCAGGTCAGAAATGGTCATGTTGGCCTTTGGGGAGTCCAGACCTCCACAGAGCTGCAGACGAGTCCTGATCTCCGGGTCGACCCTGACCTCCCCAGCCTCGCTCAGCGACAGCAGGGTGGTCTGGCTCTGGGCACCATGGTGGTAAAGCTGGAGGCCTGAAGGGCTGCCGTGGTCCTTCTGAGGGGAGCAGGACAGGACCAGAGACTGGCCCTCCGCCAGACGCTCAAACACCAACTGCGCCCAGGCTGCAGGAGGAGATCATCGGTCAGACTGCAGCGAAAACATCTCAAGAACCACAGTTGGAATGAATGAAGTGGCGTCAGTCATAGTTCCCAGAGGATGAATCCTCCTGTCCACCAGCAGGACGGCAGTCTGCGCTCCTAACCACATGTCTTACAGTTATTTAAGTCTTGTTTCTGTCTGCAGAGCCAACACAGGTCAGAGTTTCCTCCTAAGTCTCTTTCAGACATTCACTCCTTCCCTTTAGTCTGACAGCACCTGAAGGCATCAGCTTCGTGTCTGAATGTGCAAACTGGTCACTTTCCCCTGAAACCTGGAGCCTTTTCAGACGTGGAACACCGAACGTTGTCACAGCAGCAACTTCTTTAAATATTACAAGTTATCAGAACACACGGGCTTCATCAGGGTGACCAGGTTCTGTGTTTAACAAATCACAAATAAACTGAGCTGTTGAAATGGCAAAAGTATTTGAATTTTTGGTTGAATCTTCTAGAGGATGTATCCGAGGGTGGGGGGGGCTGCCACACTGGAAACTATGGACCAGGAAGTTAAAGAGACATACGTTCAAAAAATACCCCAACAAACATTTGCCAAATACGAGAACAGAGAGGAAACATGAAAAACTCAGAGCTTAGTTAATACTAGAGCACAGAAACTAGACAACAGAACACAGACCCTCCTAAAGTGTGAATATCTGTCAAACATCAAACAAACAAGACTAATTCAGTCCTTTCTTGGAGCCAAACAGCTCCACTGTGCTCGTCTGTTTGCACAATTAACAGCTGGGAATTAATGATGAATGACCTTCTGTCTGCTGGTGTGAAGCACGTAGAAACCTGTTTTCACTGCAAACACTTTACCAGTTTTTGTTTTTCTCGACATTTAAACACCCCAAACCTCAAAACTGTAATTAATTTTAAATATAGAACCAAAATGTACAACTTTAGACCTGCTAAACATCAACACATAATTTAGTTCAAAAGCCACAGAGCTCTGTAAAATAATATCTGCACATTATATTGGAGGAAAATATTAAATCACAAATACAAACATAATTAGGCACTGAAAACTGTCTTATTATTTTTTTTATTTTTATTTTTTAAATCTTTTTTAACTGTAAATTGTACTTACCTTCACAGAGCTGGATGAGAACGAGAACCCAAACCCGGCTCGTCTTCATAGCTTCTTCACTTCTAAAAGCACAGAGCAGTACAGGCGCTCCGTCATAATGCTCTCTTCCTCTTCCTTGTCTCTGCTGAGACTCTGCACAGCCTCGCTCTATTCATTGTTCTGCTCCTTTACGCAGGAAGACACTTCAAAGCCAGAATGGCAGTTAAAACACTGTGGTTGGTCTGGTGGAGCTGGAGGACTGTCTGACTGATTTATAAAGATGTTTTGAGAGAATCAGGAAGCTTGAGACCTTAAACCCTGTAAATCTGAATGCAAACCAAAATAATGCGACTCCTTTCAACAGTATTTCTAAGAAAAACAACAACTGTTGTTCCAGCAGCAGCGTAGCCATGCCTGACCTGAGCTGTGACGTCACATTAGACTGTCAAAAAGATTGACTTTGTCAAGATGTGTCAAGATCAGTGTGAAGGTGCAGCTCAGAGACAGACAAGAGGCAGCAGGAGCAGTGCCAGTACCAGCAGTACCAGTAACAGCAGTACCAGTACCAGCAGTACCAGTAACAGCAGTACTAGTACCAGCAGTACCAGTAACAGCAGTACCAGTCACCGTAGCAATGGCAACAGTAACAACAGTAACAGTAACAGTAGTATCAGTAACAGTAGTGACAGTAACAGTAATAGTAGTACCAGCAGCAGTACCAATAACAGTAGTATCAGTAACAGTAGTAACAGTAACAGTAGCAACAGTAACAGTAGTAACAGTAACAGTAGTAACAGTAGTAGTAATAACAGTAACAGTAGTAACAGTAACAGTAGCAACAGTAACAGTA